ATTCTATTTACCTATTTATTCATCATCCAATTGAACAATTCATATGAAATAGAAAGAAAAAAAAATCGATGACCACAGAATCAGAAAAAAAACATTGAAAACAAAACGGTACTTGATCATATCATATCATATATTGGTTGATTTCTCAATGATATTGAACAATGATGATAATAATAATTCTTAAAAAAACATATCTTATATAGCAAAATATAATGGAAATCATATTTTTTTTCTTCTAAAACAAAGTTTATTTCACTTACTAAGATCTAAGATATATTGGCATCGATTGCAAATAATATAAGGAATTATGGAAAAAAGAATAAGATATGTTTTCAAGTGAGGTTTTTTTTTTTCCATTTTTTTTTTTTTTTTTTTGAGAATGTCCAAAGATGAAATACATCCGTGTATGAGAACAATATTCATGTACACACACACGCACACACACACACACACATTACCTGTATGTGTCTGTACATGTTTGGCTTATTTGGTTTCCCTGTCCATTTTTTTTCTTTTATTTTTACATTGTATGATGACAACGAAATAGAGATCTTATGCTATGCTTCTTATTATCATTATTGATGTTGATATCGATGACGAAGATCGTTGTTTTCTATGTTGTTCGTTGATGAAAAAAAAAATTCGGCGTTTTTTTTTTGGAATTTATATTGAACCATTGGGATTTTTTTTCGTATGATTCAATTCAAAAAAAAATAAATAATGAAAATGATCGCTTATTCTGAGGTTATATTTGGGTCCGATTCTTGTTATCGTCATATATTGATATGACAATGAAATATTATTAATTTCACACACACACACACATAGGCTTTAATACTCATTTCTTTTCTGGGATGTTTTGTGTGTGTGTGTGTGTGTGTGTGTGCGGGTCTAGATTATTATTTGGGGCCATTACACCAGAAAAAAAGAGGACCAAAGATCAGAAGATTTAGCATCCAAGAACAATGGCGAAAATTCTTTTCAATATTTTTTTTCTTTCTTTCTTGCTTCATTCTTTGTTAGAAGATACAAAAAAAAATTGAAAATGGGGTAATAGTAGAAAAAAAAATGTGCTCCATGTATTTCAACGATCGTTATCCATAAATTATTCGTATATATTATTATTATATACAATGTATATAACAACAACAACAACAACAACCATATTTTCAATGAGTAATGATTATATTGGTGGTGGTGGTGGCCTTTAAGCACAAAGCTTTCAATAATATATTAACGATTTTCTATTGCGAGAGGAATAGAAAGGAGAAAAAAAACGAATAATAATAATGATGATGATGATGATGATGACGATGGTGAAATGAAAATGAAATCTAAATCCATAAGAAGTCATAGAAGAAAATGATGATGATAATGGTGGTGATGGAAAAAAGGAAAAAAAATAAATATTGAAAATAAATCGATAATAAGGTATCAAAATGAATGATGATCGATGATGGATGCTATTCAATTGTTATTGTATTGTATTGTATTATATTTGGATTTGGATACAAATACAACTAAAATACAACAATTTACATTTTCAATTAAAATGAATCTTTCTTTGATTAATTTTTTCTGTTTGTTGTGTTTATTGTTCTTGCGATTCGATCTTCAGAGACAATGCTATAAAAAAAAAAAAACAAAATTTGAAATCTTATTGAATATATAGCAAAATTATTTATTCAATTAAAAAAAAAGAAGAAAATGTAAAAAATTCTTCAATGGACAATATGATTTGAAAACAGCTACAATTTAATTATTATTACACAATGAAATCATTTTTTTTTCTATTCCAGATCAATAGAATGACGATTATGATGATAATAATAATAATAATAATAATAATAATCATCATCATCATCATGTTTGATGATGTAATGTATTGGATAAAACCGATACGAATTGATCCAACATTGCCAAAGACATATATAGTTCATAACGTTGACCATTTTCCATCAAAAGGATTAATTTAAAACATGCCTGAGGATTACGTTTATTTGCATCATTCGATGTGATGAAAGCTTCAAAACGAAGATTATATGATTTAAGCTTGTTCATCATCATCATCGTCGATGATTGTTTTAGCTGCTTCTGTGTTGGTTCTTGTTGTTGTTGTTGTTGCTGTTGCTTTTCTGATGATCCAACATTATTCCTGGTTGTTCTAAAATATTCCTAATGATGTTACTGCTTATTATTATTATTATTATTATTATTGTTGTTGATGATAATAATGACTGTCATCGATCACGATTACCAAACAAATAGGTATATACCAGATTTTTTCAAGATTCAAACGAAAAAAAAAATATGAACACATAGCATATACATACAAAATCCAATAACTTTTGTGTGTGTGTATGTGTGTGTTCTGGTGTTTTGAAAATATAGCCTCTTTGTTTCTGCTGCTCAATCAGCTTAGATTTTATGATTAAATATTCTACCATAATGCCATCTGATGACCAAATATTGCAACAGATAGATTTTGTTTGCCAATGTCTTCGGATACATTATATAAATAAGATGTGAATATGTATGAATATATAAAATGCAGAAAAAAAACAACAAAATGTGAAATTATTAACAAACAAAAAGAAAAAAAGAAAGAAAAAAAATTCAAACTTTGCTTTTCCTGAATTTTCTTTTTCTTCATAATTTTTTTCATTTCCAGAAAAAAAAGTTTTCAATTTCAAATTCAAAATTCGTAAACAAAAAGCTTGATTTATAAATTTGTAAACACTCGAAAAAAAACTGGAATTTATATGATGATAATAATGGTAAAAGGATTGGTGATATGGTGAACAAAATCCGAATAGAAAACTTGTGTTGAGCATTTTTTTTGTGTGTGTTTGTGTAAAACTTTTTTTGTTCGATTGATTCCGGAAAAAAAATCTCATATTTTATGAATTTTTTTTTTTGATTTCTAGTGATATTCTGTTAATAATTCTTTGTTACAATCATGATTCATGATTCGAATAATTTTTTTTTCTATCTATTGCCAGTCATATATCATTGAAAAATTCAATGAAGATGTTACCGAACACACACACACACAGAAAAGAAAGTAGGGTTAGTACTAACCAAAAAAGGTTAGCATTATAACCCAAATTGGTTAGTACTAACCTTAAAAGGCTAGCGTTGCAGGACGAATAACCCAAAAAGGTTAGTGCTAACCTGCAATACTAACCCACAAAGGTTAGTGCTAACCTTCTTGGGTTAGTTTTTAGGGTTAGTACTAACCTTTGTGGGTTAGCAATCACCCGAATTGGTTAGCGCTATCCATTATTTTAAAAATTAATTTTTTTTGTATTATAAGATAAATTATTATTATTAATAATCAATAAATTAATATTTGTAGTGAAAAATAAATCAGAAAAATAATTTTCGAGCAAAACAACAGAGTAATCGATACATAATGAAATCAATTTATAACTAAATTATCCAGATTTATTATTATTTAATGAATATTATATCAAATACCGAAATGTAATTATCAAAATTTTAAAAAAGATGGTCATCATAAATCACTTTGGAGTGCGAAACAACGATGATGATAGCGATAATGATCAAGATGGTCATCCAATTCAACAATCAATGGCTACAAAAATGGCCATCATGAATCGTAATAATCCTGCTACAATGATTGATTCATCATCATCAATCGAATGATACACCAAATATGATGATAATGTCGCCACAATTACAGCATCATAATTTTCAACGCCATCAACAACAACAACGGAATAATGTACATGTGCCACCAAGTTTTTTAATCTGTAATCATTCATCCATGAATGCAAATATTCCACCACCATCATATCATTGAGATAATCAAACTATTGAAGTTAACATGTCAGCAAAATCTGAATTGAACTCGAATTGAATAATCAAATATATGCAGATTGACAATAGTAGTAACGTTATTGTTTTTGAATTTAATTTTGTGACGAGAATATCATTCAACTTTGATTAAATTTTGTTGGTCATTATTTCGGTCGCATAAAAATCAAACATTTTTCAGAATTGATATATGTCATGGTTTTGTTTTGTTTCTATGAAAATCATAACAATACCAAAAATGGAAATTGAAATGATCGATTAAACATCCGATCATCAGAGGATGTGGTGAACTCCAGTAAACATCGAAATGGAGAATTTCAATAAATGTAACAACATCCTATCATACAACAAATGATATATTACCAGAATGATAATGTGGCATTTGTACATCCAATTGTTAAATCAAAACAAATTATGAATCTAAAATTATTATAAAAGCGAATTTTAAATAATAATAAGGCACGATATTTTTTATATTTGAATATTATGTGTTATTCTCGTCTATTTTGATAATCCAGCAAGATTATCAAGTATTTGATATATATTTGTTTTTACTGGGTGCCATTTCATTGTATTATTGGCAATGAATTGGCTGACCAATATGTAAAAGATTTTTCTTATATTTCTCACAATCTTCGTCCAATTTCTTTGGCTTAATATCTATTGAAAAATATAGAATAAGATGGATAATGAGTGAAGATGGCAAAGTTACTAAAAAAATTCTTCCATCTGTATATGATCGTAAAATAATTCTTTTTGATCTACATTTTGTGTTCACTCAGTTTTTATCGGGACATGGAAAATTCAATGTTTACCTGCATAAAATTGGCTATCGTTATAAGTCGTCTTGTTTTTGTGGTAATTTGTGTTCAAAGTTCTATTCATTTGATTTGTTTATTTGTTGCTGAACGAACTTTAATTGAAAATCAATGTGGTGTAAATCTACATGAAGAGAATTTATGTATTTGGCTATAATTCTTTAAATATGATTTTAAAAATTTATAATTTATTTTTCCCCCTATCTTTGAGGTATAGGGGCTTTTTGTTGGATAAATAAATAAATAGCTCGACTTTGAATGAAATAACAGTCCATCAATCAATTAATCCTGACCAATTGACACCAATTTATCAAACAGTGATCATCAACATGTGATAAAGAACAATTTTTACGTTCCATTGAAATTACATAATTTTTTTCATCAATTATGCATCTGATATGATAATATCTATCATATCATGAGTTGATTTTTTATTCATTTTTCATGCTAACTCTATGGCAAAAACAATGCATTCATTTTGCCGCCTAAAATTCTTAAGTCCAACTAATGAGCAACTGCGCATAGTCAAGCAGTGGTAGTGCAGCTAACTATTTTCAATGCAAATGCTGCGCGCTTCTATTCCCCATACAAATTTGAATTTGATCGTTGGAAAAATCGAACATTAAAATTCAACGGTCGTCGAAGACGGTTGTCCTCACTCAACTTTGCGCTATTTTTCGTGATCATGTCGTGATATTTTTTTCATTTTTTTTCTATTTTAATCGTGGATTTTTGTACTAAATTTTGGAACAAAGACTTTAATCGATTCAAGATTATCGTTGTTCATAGTTATTGTGGTCTAAGATCAAAAATTGCCCCCGAAATCGATGAAGATCGTTTGGTTCGGTCATGTAATCATGATTCAAGCTGGCTAAAAAATTCCATTTTTGATGACTTTCAAATGTATTTATGACATTTTGTTTTTCACCAAATTGTATTCATTCACATTCCTTTTCAAGTTTTCTTTTTCAGAATCCATTATATCTAATGTATGATAATTGGAATCCAGATTAATATATGAAAGCTTGGTCAATGAGGTAATTTGCAATATGCTTTACATTGAAAATGCTAACAATTTTCTTTGTCTTTTGAAGCATAAAATTTTCATTGATGATCAATGATCATCATTAGACATATAATTGGTGCCGTCTTTATAAAAACGATCATGGTAATGATGCCGAACATTACAAATTTATTGGTGGATATCTGGTCACTAACATGGTACGATGTCTAATGAAACTTTCAGGTAACTTTCTAATTTCGCTATCGATCAATGATTCTAACACTTACATTTCTCAAAGGCCTGAATTGGATTGGATTGTTGGAGCAACTTATTCGGTAAGTCGGCATATTCATTCTTCATATCTAATAAAGACTGGTCTATCTTTTTTTATTAGGTTTGTTCCTGAAATTTTACAATCATCAAATTGAAATTCGATTGATGATTATGTTCGAGATCAATTCGGCGGTTCCATTGTTCATCAGCATTCAATTCAAGAATAGTTTGGCCATGTTCAACACATTATAACAGGTTAGGCTAGGGTTAGATTAGGAACATGATCTGAGCTATTTCCTATTGAATTTGATGCTGATTGAATCTTTGGAATCAATGAAGCGATCGAAAACATAATTATAAGTCGAAGATTCATTGGATGGAACACATACTTGAAAGTGATCATGGTAAGAAAATGAATAGATTAATTAAACAAACAACTAATATTTATCTTCACTTAGGATCGCCGGCGAACAATTGGGAAATTGAATCTCGAACCACGGATAGAATTTGGACATTGTCTTGTAACATGGACCGCGAATATTGGATCTATTTCAAATGATCATGGTAAGCAAATGAATAGATTAATTGAACAAACAACTAATATTTATCTTCACTTAGGATCGCCGGCGAACAATTGGGAAATTGAATCTCGAACCACGGATAGAATTTGGACATTGTCTTGTAACATGGACCGCGAATATTGGATCTATTTCAAATGATCATGGTAACAACGAACACTAACCTTTTTACTTTCTTTTCTGTGCACACACAAAAAAAAACATTTCCACTTAATTTTTCATTTCGAAATCACACATGTTCACATTCATGGACAAACAAAAAAAAAAACTAAAACGACAACAGCAACAGTAATGGTATTGGTGATAATTTCAACGCATTTTCTTTTCATTATTTCAGATAAAAATCTGATTTTTATCAAATTTCAGTACTTAAATTTGAACATTCTTTACATTTTTTTTTCTTTCGTTCGTTGTTGAATTTTAAGAAATAAAAAATTTTTTTCTCTTAAAAAAACAAAAATTTCAATTTCCACATTTCACGTTCATTTTAAATTATTATTTTCAATTCATTTCAATTCGATTCGATTTATACATATCACCATCATCATCATCATCATCAAATTCATGAGGTTGTATATATATATTTTATATTCCATTCCATCGTATTTTGTTAAACTTTTTTTTTCTATGATAAAAGATATATAACATTGTATTGGTATTGGTTGTTGCTGTTGTTGTTGATGATGTTGCTGAATTTTTAATCAAGATGAACCGATGATGATGACGATGACGATTATGATGATGATGTTGATAATTTCAATGGATTTTACAGTAAACAATTTCCATTCGTTAAGTAGTTTTTCTATATTTAATTTCTAAAATGAAAATCTTAGAAATTCAAATGTACAAGAGGGATAGTGAACAAGATAAACGTTTAAAATATCATGACATTCATTTAATGATCATGGCTTTTCTGTCCTTGATATTTTATTGATCATTCAGTTTATCATTATTTTTACATCAAATATAATGATAATGATTAAGACGTTATGGAATATGAATTGATTAACTTGTTTTTTTGTTTGGTTGCCACATCGATTGCTGGCTAGCATATATAAATATTGGATTCATTAGTGGAAAAAGATTTTTCCATAATCAACATAATCATCCAAAATTCATTTGAAATTACAATTTTTCTGTAAAATAAATTCTATACACTGGTTTGTTTGTGTGTGTGCGTTTGAATCATGAAAATATCTGTCCGTGTTAAAGGTGATTGGTTTACGGTACCGGTTCCGAAACCGTTTGAACAAACAATAAAATGGCTAGGTGTAGAAGCATTGAATAAATATACAAAATTACGACAATCCCATTCATCCATTTCAAATGATTCAATTGAAATTGTTGATGAAATACGTAAAGCCAAAGGTGGTTCCATATTAGATCCAGAAGATTTTGTTGCCGATGTTTTAGATGACAATGATTTTGTCAGTATTGGTATGTATATAAATTTTAAATTATTTTCAATTTAATAATTCTTTAATTACATCTTTTTTATAATATGTCCCCTTTTATAGTACTTGAAAGTGACAAAAAAACTATGGTTACCGGAAATCTAGAAGTTCATTATATACCGGAAAAGGCTAGTTCAGAAATTCAAGTAACACCAAAAACATTTGAATATATTAATTTGAATGGTAATCAATTGTCTACAGATGATCTACTCAATCTTGGCCGTGGTCATTATAAAATCAAGGTAATTATTATTAAAATTGATTTGATTATTTTTATATTTAATCCATACATTCGAACATTGTATTGAAAAATAAAATTAGCTTGCAACAGAATCACAACAAAAAATCAAAGCATGTCGTGACATGTTAGAACGAATATTAAGAGAAAATAAAGTTGTTTATGGTGTAAACACTGGTTTTGGAAAATTTGCAACCACTTTGATTAGTGGTGAAAATCTAATCGATTTACAATATAATCTAATCCGTAGCCATTCGGCTGGTGTTGGTAATCCATTATCACCATTTCGTACAAGAATGTTATTAGCATTACGTATCAATATTCTGGCCAAAGGTTATTCAGGAATATCATTAGAAACACTTCAACAGTTGATCGATGCATTTAATGCATCATGTTTATCATGGGTACCAGAAAAAGGTACTGTTGGCGCTTCTGGAGATTTAGCACCATTAGCACATTTAGCTCTTGGTCTGATTGGTGAAGGAAAAATGTGGTCACCTGAAAGTGGATGGTCCGATGCAAAATATGTACTTGAATCGCATAATCTAAAACCATTGAACTTGAAACCAAAAGAAGCGTTAGCATTGATCAATGGTACACAATTGATAACATCATTAGGTGCTGAAGCTGTGGAACAATCATCATACCTAATTCAACAAGCTGACATTGTTGCCGGTATGACATTGGAAGTTTTAAAAGGTACAACACGTGCATTTGATCCGGATATTCAAAAAATTCGTCCACATCCTGGACAAGCTGCAGTTGCGAAACGAATTCGTGCAATATTGAATTCGTCTATTTTTCCTTCACAGATTGCCGAATCACATCGATTTTGTAACAGAGTTCAGGATGCATACACATTAAGATGTTGTCCACAGGTACATGGCGTTGTTCATGATACAATTGATTTTGTACGGAACATTATTACAACTGAAATGAATTCGGCAACCGATAATCCTTTGGTGTTCGTAGAACGTTCAGAAATTATTTCTTCGGGCAATTTTCATGGAGAATATCCAGCTAAAGCTTTGGATTACTTAGCCATTGCTGTACATGAATTGGGCAGTATGAGCGAAAGACGAATCGAACGCCTAGTAAATCCAGCACAATCTGGTTTGCCAGCATTTCTTGTTAAAAATGGTGGTCTTAATTCTGGTTTCATGATCGCTCATTGTACAGCTGCAGCTCTTGGTAATACTCAATGTGTTGAAAATATTGATTGATAATCAAAATTTTTAATTTAAATTTTTTTTCAAATAGTTTCGGAGAACAAAGTACTTTGTCATCCTGCATCAGTTGATTCATTATCAACATCAGCCGGTCAAGAAGATCATGTATCTATGGGTGGATTTTCAGCCAGAAAAGTTTTACAAGTAATCGAAAATGTTCAACGAATTATAGCCATTGAATTGTTGGCTGCATGTCAAGCAATAGAATTTTTGCGTCCTTTACGAACAACAAGACCATTAGAAGCTGTTTATCATACTGTTCGTCGAGAAGTCAAGTATGTTAATGTTAATGATAATGATAATGATGATGACAGCATCAAATTGAATTTTTCCATTAAAATTTATTTTTATTTTAGGCCATGGGAAAATGATCGTATTATGAATACAGATATTAATGCTGTTACAGATCTATTACAAGAGAAAACAATATGGCGTGTTGTCAAACCATTTATTGATGAATATAATGAACGAAAAAAATTCGATGTTCGTCCACCATCACCGACGGCCACTGTATTGGGAAAAGCATCCAGTCTTGAAAAACAATTACATTTTGATCAAATGGAAAAGTTGAAAAATCTTAGTAAACCAAATTGATTTGAATGCGAGCAGAAACAAGATTTAAACAAGATTTTTGTTTTCCGTTTAAAACAATAAAATGACAAAAAAAACAATACGATTTCATTTTATCTTTTAATAATTAAATTTTAATAATCTCAAATCTCAAATCTTTAAATATTGGGTTAATTAATTGTTTTTAAGACGACGACAACAACAACAACAACAACAGCAAAAATTATCAATCTATTGATCAAGGTGTGTGTGTGTGTGTGTGTGTGTTTATGATATCACTAAAATGTGAAAAATAATTTCAAGACAAAATTCATTCATCATCTAATTAAAACTGAAAAAGGGAAAAAGAAAAATGTTAAAATTCAATTTTATATGCAAAACAAATATCATCCGATGATAGATTATTCGATGCTTGTTGTGATTGATTTGTTGTATTGTTGTTTGATTGTAGATCAATTTGATCTAATGATAGCCAACAACGATTAGCTGCTGAAACAATTTCGATTCCAAGTGAATCTAATTGTTCTTTATGATCGGCATACCAACGTGCCATTGCTTCCGATTCATATGTTGGTACAATTGTTACTTTTGTTTCAGAACGATTTTGATCATCAATTTTTAGCCATGTTTTTACACCATTAAGTAATGCATCAAGAACTTGTCGTGAAGGTGTTACACCGGAAAATACATAATAACGTGCACGAATTTTACGGAAAAAATCCTCATCACAATAGCCACGTTTTCCATGACCAGGTACATAGGCTAATTCAACATAAACTGGATTCACCGTTGTATTTGTTGATTTATTACTGGCGGTGGATGTTGCACGTTCTGTAGAAGATCGATTCCGTCCTATATTCGTAGTTCGACTACTACTGCTTTGATAATATTGTGATGATGAACTAATTGGTGATGGTGGCTGCGGTGTTGGTAATGCCATTGGTGGATCCCAATCTCGATCAACATCGAAACGTTTTTTAGTTGTCGTTTTGGTCATTGTGTATACAACTTCGGGTAATTGTTGTTCAGTGACAATTACACGATTATTATCATTATTACTACTACTTGTATGAGTAGTGTCCGCAGCTGCTGATGTTGATGTTGTTGTAGCTTCCATAATTGTTTCGGTAATATTTATATCATCACACATTGGTTCTGTCATCATTTGTATTTGTCTTGTTGAAAGTAATTCAGGTGGTGGACTTTGTTCATATGGTTCTGTTAACATTACATTTTCGATTGTTTCAAATTTCATTGGTCTAATTTGTTCTTTCAATTCTCGTTTGGTTATTATTTTTTGATTAATTTCAGTAGTGGTAGGCGGTAATTTTTCATTTATATCACTGCTTGTCATTGTATTTGTTGTACTATCAATAGAACTGATCACATTTGGACTTATAATTGTTTCCATAACTAAATTCGGTCCACTTGTTTCGTATGTTTTTATTCGAGAATCAATTGAATCGTCATCATCATGTTGTACAAACATTTCGCTTGTTTCAATTATTCGTGTTTGTAATTCTGTAATGAAAAAAATATAAAATTTTTATGATTCTTTATTAACAATAATCTTACCTGGAACATGATCAATTAAACCAGGCATTGACGAATCAATATTGACCATTGATGTTGTAGTTATTGTTGAACTTGTAGCTGGTGTTTGCAATGGTACTATGGAGATTTTTGAAAATTTTTCCATTTCTTTTCGTTCAATTTCTTCATCATCAATCTGATTATTATTACTATCAGTTTGACCAAGATTCACACGTATATGTGATTCATAAATTTTTGGCAAAGTAGTTGTTGTCGTCCATTCTTGCTTTATTGTTGATTGTTTTGTCTGATCTGATGTATCAGTCAAAGATTTTGAATCAAATCGATTGATAACCATTTGTGTACGTTCCATTCGATTACTTTCCCCGGTATTGATATCATCGGAATGTTTTTCAAATACATTCCATTGATCATTTAATGTATCTAATGATGAAACTTTTTCAGCAACAGCAGCAGATGGAACATCGGTCATTTTCATTGTCGATTCCATTGTTTTTCCAAAGTTTTTTGAATCAGAAAATTTTGTATAATTTTTCTCTAATTGTGGAATACCAATCGATTCTTTATCAATACTTGATACCGAAATTGAATCAGCAAAACTTGTAGTTGTATCAGCTAATTGGAACAAAAAAAAACAACAAAATTCATTACTTCAATATAACGAAATTGTATTAATTACTTACCAGCTAGAGATGTTGTTGTTGGATGAATAAAAATATCGGAATTAGCTGCCGCTAATGATTGTTGATGGCGATCGGTTACTTGTGATATTTTTTGATCCATATCTTCTAGAAGCTGATACGTTTGTCCAAGAACACTATGGCATTGCTGTTGAAGGTTTTCAATTACCTTAGAAGTTTGGCTAGTTTTTGCCTCTTCTTGTTTATCTATTGATTGTGCAGATGTTTGGGTGAGAATTTGGTCCATTTTTTGTTGTATGGCAGGTTTTACTGTACTATCTAGTAGTTCACGGGCTTGTGTATGAACATCGGTCGAAATTTTGCTAATATCGGCAACACCCATTGTGGATTGCATTTGTTCAAACAATTCTTTCGATTCGGATAGCATTGACATTGAACCAGAAATGAATGAAGTTGTTTGAATTGGATCACTTTCTATAACAATAACTTGTTCACCTTCGGACATCGGAATATTATCATCATCGGTAACTAATTGTGCTTGCTGTAATATCCATTGTATTGTATTGGCTGCTTTATCAGTTTCTGTCATCGTTATTGGTACGGCATCTTCGATTGAATCCAATGTTTCTTGTTCCGATTGGCTGGTATCAATTTTCTGAATTGGTATCATTGTTTCGATGCCAGATTTCGATCCTGTCGTGACATTAGTCTCTAATTCATCTTCAGCCAAAACATTCTTTTGTGCATTATTTTGTTGCTGATTCATTGTAAGTGGTGTATCATCAATTTCATCAGAAGATTTGGTGATTGCTTCAGCAACATTATCAGATTTTGTGGTTACATTTTTGTCTTGTGGAATATTAGACAATTGAGTTTCTGTTAAAATTTCTAAAGCATCTGGTGCATTTTCAGCGGTTGATTTTGTTCCAATTATTTCATTGGAGACTGATTGTGAAATTAATTCTTTTCCATTGGTATTCGTTTCAGTCCAAACTGTTATTTCTTCTTTTTGACGTTATTTTTTCATCAATTTGAGCTAATACTATTGCGGAATCAACATTGAATGATTCTTGCTCCGTTTCTTTTCGTTCGATTTTTTCTGTTTCCATTTCTTTCGGTTCAACTTTCGATGATTCTTTTTCTGATGATTCAACTTTTGTTTGTTCAATTTCTTTAGTTTCGACTTTCGCTGGTTCAGTTTCTTGAGCTTCGCCTTTCGTTGGTTTCTTTTCATCTGTCTCTGTTTCTGTTGATACAATTTTTACCGGTTCAATTTCATTAATTTCGATTTTCATCTCGTCGACTTTTACAGGTTTCGTTTCTGTTGACCCAACTGTTGCTGGCACTGATTCAACTGTCTCGAATTTTTCTGATTCATCTTTTTCTGGAAGTTTATCTGTTGCTTCAACTTTTGGTAACACTGATTCTGCTGTTTCAGCTTTCATCGATTTACTTGATTTAACTGTTATTGATTCTGTTTTAGTAATTTCAACTTTTGTTGGTTCTTGTTCCGTGTTTTGAACGTTTGCTTGTTTCGTTTCTATTGATTCAATTGTTGCTGGATCTGAATCGATTGTTTTATCTTTTGGCATGCTTTTCTCTTGCATTGTTTCTTGAATTAAAACTTTTGTTTGATTCGTTTCACTTGGTTCTTCAACTTTTGATAGCTCTTCTTTTGTTGGACCAGTTTCTTTAATTTGGACTTCATCTTTTGCCAATTCAGCATGTTGAGTTTTGACTTTCGCTGATTCATTTTCTGGTGGTTCAAATGTTGACGGTTCTTTTTCGGTTTTTTCAGTTTTTGTCTGTTCGACTTTTTCTGATTTTGTCGCGGTTGGTTCAAAATTCACAGATTCTGTTTCTTGAGTTTCGATTGGTTCAACTTTTGGTGGTTCATTCTCTAGCACTGTTTCTAGCACTGTTTTGTGAATCACAACTTTTGCTAGATCTATTTCACTTATTTCAACTTTCGAATGTTCTTCTTTCGTTGGCATCATTTCTTTAGTTTCCTCTTTTGTTGTTTCCATATCTCGAATTTCAATTTTTGGTGGTTCTTCTGTCTCTGTGGATTTAATTTCAGCAGCTTCAACTATCACTTGCTCTATTTCTATTGGTTGAATTCCTTGATTTTCGATTTTTGATTTTTCGATTGGTATATGTTTTTCTGGTTCATTTGCTTTTGGTTCAGATTTTATGGATTCCGCTTCTGTCGATTTGAAAATCGTTTCATTAGTTTCGATTTTCAGCGTTTCATTTTTTTCTTCTTCATTTTTGTTTGTTTCAGCTTTTGTTGATTCTGTTTCTTTTGATTCAATTTTCGCTGGTTCATCTTTTGCTTGTTTTGTTTCTTTTGATTCAACTGTTGCTTGTTCTTTTTCCATAAAAGCCGTTTCATTACTTTCAACTTTCGCAGTATCAACTTTGATTGGTTCTTTTATATTTGTTTCGGCTTTTATCGGCTCTAGATGGGCTGATTCGATTTTGCCTCGTTCTTTCTCTATCGAAACCATTTCATTAGTTTCGATTTTTAGCGTTTCATCTTTTTCTTCTTCATTTTCATTTGTTACAGCTTTTGCTGGCTCTAGTTCCGCTGTTTTTGCTTTTATTGGTTCTGTTTCTTTTAATTCAATTTTCGCTGGTTCATTTTTTGCTTGTTTCGTTTCTGTTGACTTAACTGCGGCTTGTTCTGGTATGTCTGGTTCAACTTTTGGTGGTTCTTCTTTTGTTTGCACTGCTTCTTTAGTTTCAACTTTTGCTGGTTCAGTTTCGGTTGATTCACCTGTTGCTTGTTCTTTTTGCATTAAAGCCGTTTCATTACTTTCAACTTTCGCAGTATCAACTTTGATTGGTTCTTTTATATTTGTTTCGGCTTTTATCGGCTCTAGATGGGCTGATTCGGCTTCGCCTGGTTCTTTTTCTATCGAAACCGTTTTATTAGTTTCGATTTTTAGCGTTTCATCTTTTTCTTCTTCATTTTCGTTTGTTCCAACTTTTGCTGGCTCTTTTTCGATTGATTCAATATTCGCTTTTCCGGTTTCTTGTGTTTCAACTATAGCTTGTTTAACTGTCTCTGGTTTTATTGATTCAATTTTCGTTGAATCTTCCTCTGTTGAAACCGTTTCAATGTATTCAACTTTAGCTGCTTCAGTTTCGGTTGTTTCAACGTTCACTGGTTCAGTTTTTGGAGTTCCGTTTTCCACTGTCACAGTCTTGGTTAAATCCATTTTTGCTTGTTTCGTTTGACTTGGTTCAATTTCCATCTCTGGAATTTTGTTTATCACTGACTTCGCTTCTACCAAAACTGCTTTTGTTGTTTCAGTGTTAAATGGTTTTAATTCTTGAATTTCAAGCGATTCAACTATTACCGGTTCTGTTTCTGTTAGTCCAACTGTTGCTTGCTCGGATTCTATTCGTTCGACTTTTGTTGGTTCATTTATTTCTGGCTCGTTTAATGATGTTTCATCTTTCTTCTGTTCAACTTTTTCTGGTTTCGGCTCGATTGATTCGGCTTTTTCTGATCCCATTTCAGTTATTTCAATATTTGTTTCTTGATTTTTACCTTTTGCTGGTTCGTTTTGGACTGAATCTATTTCTGTTATTTCCACTTTTGTTGATTCTGTTGCTGTTAATTCAACATTGGCTGATTTGTCTTCTGATTCTGTTGATTCGATTTTCGTAGATTCTGCTTCTATTGATTCATCTTTTGCTTCTACAGTTTCTGTTGGTGCAACTTTTGCTGAATCGTCTTTTATTCTTTCGGATTCTTTTGGTTCTTCTTTTGTTAACTCTTTTTCAATTGATTCTATTTTCGGTTCAGTTTCGATTGGTTCAACTTTCGATGTTTCTGGTTTTGTTGATACAATTTTTGCAGGTTCTTGCCCAGCGGGTTCAATCTTTTCTGGTTCCGTCTCTTGAGTTTCGACTTTAGTTGGACCAGATTCTGTTTGTTCTACTTTTGCTATTTCAGTTTCTTGAGTTATGTTTTTCGCTAATTTGTTTTCAATTGGGTCTGTTTTTGTTGTATCAACTACAGTTGGCTCCGTTTCATTCGGATCAATTTTCGAAGATTCCTCTTTTGTTGGCATTGTTTCAGTAGTTTTAACTTTTGTTGACTCTTTTTCGATTGATTCTATCTTCGTTGGTTCAATTTTTTCTGGTTCCACCAGTTCTGGTTTGGTTGATTCATCTTTTGTTGATTCTTCATTTGTTAAAATCGTTTCATTAGTTTCAACCATTGCTTGTTCACTTTTATCTGATTTAGTTTCGGTTGATTCAACTTTTGCTGGTTCTGTTTCTTGAATTTTGCTTTTTGTCGGCTCGACTTCTGTAGGTTCAGTTGATGTTAGTTTAACTATTGTAGGTTCTTCTTGTGTTAACAGTGTTTCAGTAATTTCAACCTTTTCTGTTTCATCTTTTGCTGATTCTTTTTCTATTGATTCTTTCTTTGCTGATTGAGTTTCTTGAATTTCTACTTTTGCTAATGTTACTGTTGCTGGAGAGGTTGATTCAACATCTAATTCCGTTGAAATAGTTTCAGCTGTTTCGACTTTTAATGGTTCATCTTTTTCAGGTTCCTTTTTCGTTGTTTGAGCTTTCGTTAACTCTGATTCTGTTTGCTCAATAATTGTAGATTCTGCTTCTGATGGTTCATTTTCACTTGGCTTTGTTTTTTCTGGTTCGGCTTTTGCTGGTTCAAATTTTTCCGATTCTATTTTTTGAGTTTCGACTTTGTTCGGTTCCGTTTCTGCATGATCAATTTTTGCTGGTTCTATTGGTTCAACTGTCTTCTCTGGTTTGATTGATTCAATTTTCGAAGATTCCTCTTTCATTGAGATTGTTTCAACAGTTTCAACTTTCATTGACTCATTTTTGATTGATTCTATCTTTGCTGATTCAATTTCTTGAATTTCTGCTTCTGCTGGTTCAACTATCGCCTCTGGTTTGATTGATTCAACTTTTGGTAATTCTTTTTTCGTTGACTCCATTACATTAGTTTCGACTTCTGCTTGTTCACTTTTTTCTGGTTCCGTTTCTGTTGATTCAATTATTGCTGGTTCCGTTTTATGGGTTTCAACTTTTATTGGAACTGATTCTGTATGTTCAACTTTAGCTTCTTCCTTTTTGATTGGTTCAACTGGTTCATCTTCAGCTGGTTTATCTTTTTCAGATTCTTTCTCTGTTGTTTCAGCTTTCGTTACCTCTTGTTCAAATTTTGTCGATTCTGTTTCTTGAATTTCAACTTTCATTGACTCTTTTTCGATTGATTCTATCTTCGTTGATTCAATTTCTTGAATTTCTGCCTTTGCTGGTTCAACTATCTCCTCTGGTTTGATTGATTCAACTTTTGGCGATTCCTCTTTCTTCGTTGACTCCATTACATTAGTGTCGACCTTGGCTTGTTCACTTTTATCTGGTTTTGTTTCTGTTGATTCAATTATTGATGGTTCCGTTTCTTGGGTTTCAACTTTTATTGGAACTGATTCTGTTTGTACAACATTTGCATTTCCAGTTTTAGTTGATTCAATTATAGTTGGTTCTGTTTCTTGAATTTTGCTTTTTGTCGGTTCGACTTCTGTGGGTTCAGTTGATGTTGGTTCAACTTTTGAAGTTTTTTCGTTTGTTGATTCATCTCTTGTTTCAGTTGTTTTAACTTTTGCTAGTTCGCCCTTTTCTGGTTCCAGTTCTGTCGATTTAATTTTTTCTGGTTCAACTTTCTCAGTTTCTATTGGCATAATTTTTTCTGGTTCTGTTTTGGATGGTTCAACTTTTGTTGAATTCAATTCGGATGGTTTGACTTTCATCGGTTCATTTTCTGGAATTTGTTTCATTTCTTTTGTATCAATCTGTTCCGAAGATTTTAATAATAACTCATGATTTTCAAGACTATCCATAGGATTAGGATGTAAAAATGATTTATTTACAGTGAGTAGTCCGGTTGATGCAAATTGTGCCGTAGCGATGTTCTCGTTGATATCATTATCGATTTCATCTTCTGTGGATTTGGCACCCGGATGTAAAAAAGATTGATTTATTGTTGGCTTTTTCAGTGTTTTTTCTTCATTTTCATCTCTTATCACATTTATATGTTCAATTTCATCATCTATATGATTGATCACAGCATGTTCATTATCAATGGTTTCTGACAAATTATCGTCATTCTTCTCACTATTGTCAATTTGAGTGATATGCTCAATCATATCAGATTTATCACTAATTTTATCACTGTGATAACCAGTTTTGATATGTGTCGGCTCGGATAATAAAACTGGTGAATGTGTTTTCATTACATGAATTTCATTAGCTGAAAATTCATCTGTATTATCATTTACGGTTTGTTCAGGCACTTGATCATCTAAAATTTGGACAATGTTTTCTTTTTCATCAAGAATTTCAGCTGGTTTCAATGTAGAAGATTCAGTTTTGAGCAATATTTCCGACGACTCAATTTTGGTCGGTTCATCTTCTACTCGAATTGATTCAATTAATTCGACTTTTGCTGATTCTGTTTCGATTAAATCTATCTCGGTGGTGTTTGCCAATTTTACTGCAATTTGTTCGAATTCTGCTGGTATCAATTCAATTGGCTCTACTTTTGCTGGTTCCGTTTTGATTGGTTCAGCCTTCGTTAATTCTGCTTCTGTAGATTCGATTTTTGCTTCTGATGCTTCATTTTTAGTTGGTTCCATTTCTTTCGTTTCAACCTTTGTCGGCTCCGTTTCTGTTGATTCAACTTTTGCTTCTTCCATTTTGATTGGTTCAACTTTCGCTGATTCCGTTTGATTTGATTTAACTTTTGATGGTTCAATTTCTTGAGTTTGGACTATTGTTGGTTTATCTTTTTCAGGTTCTTTCTTTGTTGTTACAAGTTCCGTTTCTACATGTTCAACTTTTGTTGGTTCAACTGTTTTCTCTGATTCTATCGATTCACTTTTTGGTGATTCTTCTTTTGTTGAAATCGTTTCAGAAGTTTCTACTTTTACTGGTTCATCTTTTTCTGATACCTTTTTTGTTGTTTCAGCGTTAGTCAAATCTGATTCGGTTGGTATGATTTGTGCAGATACTGCTTTTGTTGATTCATTTTTTGATTGTTCTGTTTCTTCAGTTTCGAAGCGGTTCGGTTCCATTTCTACCTGTTCAACGTTTGCTGGTTCTATTGGCTCAACTTTTTGTGATTCTTCTTTTGTTGACTCCGTTTCAGCTGTTTCGACTTTTACTGGTTCCTTATTCGTTGTTTGAGCTTCCGTTAACTCTGATTCTGTTGGTTCAATTATTGTAGATTTTGTTTCTGTTGATTCATTTTCACTTGGCTCTGTTTTTTCTGGTTCCACTTTTGCTGGTTCAAATTTTTCCGATTCTGTTTCTTGAATTTCAACTTTGTTCGGTTCCGTTTCTGCATGTTCAACTTTTGCAGGTTCTATTGGTTCAACTGTTTTTGATTCTTCTTGCGTTAACATTGACTCAGTAGTTCCAACTTTTACTGGTTCATCTTTTGTTGACTCTTTTCCGATTGATTCTATATTTGTTGTTACAGTTTCTTCAATTTTTGCTTCTGCTGGTTCAACCGTCTTCTCTGGTTTGAATGATTCAACTTTTGGTGATTGCGTTGAAATTGATTCACTAGTTCCAACTTTTACTGGTTCATCTTTTTCTGGTTCTTTTTCTGTTGTTTCAGCGTTAGTCAACTCCGATTCGGTTGGCATGATTTGTGTAGATACTGCTACTGATGATTTTGTTTCTTGAGTTTCAAATCGGTTCGGTTCCATTTCTGCATGTTCAACTTTTGCTGATTCGATTTCAGGAGCTTCAACTTTCGTTGGTTCATCTTTTGCTTCTTCCGTTTTAATTGGTTCAGCTTTCGTTAACACTGGTTCTGTAATTTCGACTTTTGTTAATTCTGTTTCTGATGCTTCATTTTTTATCGATTCCATTTCTTTTGTTTTAACCGCCGTTGGTTCCGGTTCTGTGGATTTAACTTCCTCTGGTTCATCTTTCACTGATTCTGTTTCATTTTGTTCAACTTTAGGGAGTTTTTCTTTCGTTGGCACTGTTTCTTGAATTTCTGCCTTTGCTGGTTCAACTGTCTCCTCTGGTTTTACTGATTCAACTTTTTGTGATTCTTCTTTTGTTGACTCCGCTTCAGTTGTTTCGACTTTTACTGTTTCATCTTTTTCTGGTTCCTTTTTCGTTGTTTGAGTTTTCGTTAACTCTGATTCTGTTGGCTCAATTATTGTAGATTCTGATTCTGTTGATTCATTTTCAGTTGGTTTTATTTTTTCTGGTTCGACTTTTCCCAATTCTGTTTCTTGAGTTTCGACTTTGTTGATTGATTCTTCTTTTGTTGATTCCGTTTCAGCTGTTTCGACCTTGGCTTGTTTACTTTCATCTGGTTTCGTTTCTGTTGATTCAATTACTGTTGGTTCTGTTTTTTGATTTTCAACTTTTATTGGAACTAATTCTGTTTGTTCAAGTTTTGCTGGTTCTGTTTCTTGAATTTTGCCTTTTGTCGGTTCTGTAGGTTCAGCTGATGTTGCTTCAACTTTTGGAGGTTCTTCTATTGTTGACTTCGTTTCAATAGTTTTGACTTTTACTGGTTCCTTTTCCGTTGTTTCAACTTTTATTATCTCTGATTCTTTTGGTTTAATTTTTGAAGATTCTGTTTCTATTGATTCGTCTTTTTCTGGCATCATTTCGGTTGCATCAGATTTCACCGTTTCAATTTCTTTATTTTCAACGTTGGCTGGTTCATCTTTCATTGATTCACTTTCATTTCGTTCAACTTTTGATGTTTCAGTTTTTTGATTTTCTACTTTTATTTGATTTGATTCAATTTTTTCAACCTTATCTTGTTGCTTTTCAGTTAGTGCATCTTTTTCTGGTTCCTTTTCTGTTATTTTAACTATTGTTGGCTCAGTTTTTTCTGGTTGAGTTTCTGATGATTCCAAATTCAATGTTTCGGTATCTACGCTTTTTAACTATTGTCGGTTGATGTTCTTGTGATTTATCTGATTTGATTTCCTCTGTTTCAACTTCAATTGGTTTCGATATAGCTTGTTCATGATTTAATGATTCTGTTTTTATTGATTTGATTTTTATTGAGTCCATTTCTTGAATTTCGTTTTCTTTAAATTTGATTTCGATTGGTTCAACTTTTTCTGGTTCAGTCTTTATCTTTTTAGTTTCTTCATTTTCATCTTTTGATTGTTCTTTTTCAGCCGGAATTGTTTCGTTAAGCTCAACTTTTGCAGTCTCTGGTTTGATTGGTTCTAATTTCACTGGCTTTGTTTCGGTAAGCTCATTTTGTGAGAGTTCCGTTTCCATTGGTTTTACTTTTGTTGGTTCACTATCTTTTTTTCAATTTTTGCTGGTTCGTCTTGTACTGGCTCTGTTACGGTTATTTCATTTTTCTCTGGTTCAGTTTCTCCAGTTTTAACTTCTACCGGTTCATCTTTTTCTTTTTCTTTTTCTGTTGATTCGACTTTTGTTAACTCTGATCCTGTTGATACTATTTTCGTAGGTTCTGCGATTGTTGATTCATCTTTCGTTATTTTCATTTCAGTTGACGATTCTTCTATAGTTGATACCATTTCAGTAGTTTGAATTTTTTCTGGTTCCATTGTTTCAACTTTTATTAGTTCTGAATCTGTTGGTTCAATTTTTGTACATTTTACTTCTGGTGATTCATCTTTTGCTGGTTTCATTTCGGTTGGTTCAACTTTTGCTTCTTCCATTTTGGTTGGCTCAACTTTTGCTGATTCCGTTTTGATTGGTTCAACTTTCGTTATCTCTGGTTCCATTTCTTTTTGTTTAACTGTTGCTGGTTCAAATATCACCGGTTCTGTTTCTTGAATTTCAACTTTCATCAATTCCGTTTCTGTTTGTTCAACTTTTATTGTTTCAGATTCTTGAATTTCATTTTTTGTTAGTTCGACTGCCTGCTCTGGTTTGACTGATTCAAATTTTTGTGATTCTTCTTTTGTTGATTCCGTTTCAGCTGTTTCGACTTTTGTAAATCGGTTCGGTTCCATTTCTGCATGTTCAACTTTTGCTGATTCGATTTCAGGAGCTTCAACTTTCGTTGGTTCATCTTTTGCTTCTTCCGTTTTAATTGGTTCAGCTTTCGGTAACTCTGGTTCTGTAATTTCGACTTTTGTAAATTCTGTTTCTGATGCTTCATTTTTTATCGATTCCATTTCTTTTGTTTTAACCGCCGTTGGTTCCGGTTCTGTGGATTTAACTTCCACTGGTTCATCTTTCATTGATTCTGTTTCATTTTGTTCAACTTTAGGGAGTTTTTCTTTCGTTGGCACTGTTTCTTGAATTTTATCTTTCGTTATTTCGACTGGCTGCTCTGGTTTTACTGATTCAACTTTTTGTGATTCTTCTTTTGTTGACTCCGTTTTAGCTGTTCCGACTTTTACTGGTTCATCTTTTTCTGGTTCCTTTTTCGTTGATTGAGCTTCCGTTAACTCTGATTTTGTTGGTTCAATTATCGTAGATTCTGCTTTTGTTGGTTTATTTTCAATTGGTTTTGTTTTTTCTGGTTCGACTTTTCCCAATTCTGTTTCTTGAGTTTCGACTCTGTTCGGTTCCGTTTTTGCATGTTCAACTTTCGCTTGTTCTATTTGTTCAACTGTTTTTGATTCTTGTTGCGTTGACAGCGTTTCAGTAGTTTCAACTTTTATTGACTCATTTTCGATTGATTCTTTTTTGATTGATTCAATTTCTTGAATGTCTGCCTTTGCTGGTTCAACTATCTCCTCTGGTTTGATTGATTCAACTTTTGGCGATTCCTCTTTCTTCGTTGACTCCATTACATCAGTTTCGACCTTGGCTTGTTCACTTTTATCTGGTTTCGTTTCTGTTGATTTAATTACTGCTGGTTCTGTTTTTTGAGTTTCAACTTTTATTGGAACTGGTTCTGCTTGTTCTAGTTTTGCTGGTTCAGTTTCTGTTGATTCAATTATTGCTGGTTCAGTTTCTTGTATTTTGCCTTTTGTCGATTCGACTTCTGTGTTTTCAGTTGATGTTGGTTCAACTTTTGAAGATTCTTCGTTTGTTGATCCAACTCTTGTTTCAGTAGGTTCAACTTTTGCTAGTTCGCCTTTTTCTGGTTCCGTTTCTTTCGGTTCAATTTTCGAAGATTCCTCTTTCATTAAGATTGTTTCAACAGTTTCAACTTTCATTGACTCATTTTCGATTGATTCTTTCTTTGCTGATTCAATTTCTTGAATGTCAGCCTTTGCTGGTCCAACTATCTCCTCTGGTTTGATTGATTCAACTTTTTTCGATTCTTCTTTTTGCGTTGACTCCATTCTTCTTTTGATCTCTGTTGTTCACTTTTTCTCGTTTCATTGATTCATTAGCTGGTTCGATTGGAACTGATTCTGTTTCTTTTGCTTTTTGATTGTTCACTGGTTTTTTCTGGTTTTCTTTTTCAGATTCTTTTTCTGTTGATTCAATTATTTTTGTTTCTGGTTCCATTTTTGATTGATTCAACTTTTATTGGAACTGATTCTGTTTGTTCAACTTTGGCTTGTTCAACTTTTTCCTTTTTGATTGTTTCTTGTTCAACTGGTTCATCTCCAGCTTTTATCTGTTTTTTTCTGACTTCAGATTCTGTTGTTCAACTTTTGAAGATTCTTCTGTTGTTTCAGCTTTCGTTACCTCTTGTTCAAATTTTGTCGATTCTGTTTCTTGAATTTCAACTTTTATCGATTCTGTTTCTTCTTGCACTACTTTTACTGTTTCAGTTTCTGGAATTTTCTCTTCTTTTAGTTCAAATGCTTTTTCTGGTTTGATTGATTCAACTTTAGGTGATTCTTCATTTGTTAAAATTTTTTCATTAGTTTCGGCAATTGCTTGTTCACTTTTATCTGGTTTCGTTTCTGTTGATTCAGTTTTTGGTGATTCTTTCTTTGTTGAAACTGTTTCAATAATCTCGACTTTTGTTGGTTCAGTCACCAAAGCTTCTGTTTCAATTCTATGTGTTTTTCTTCTGCTGACACCGATTCTGGAGTTCCCACTTTTGCTGATTCAATTTTTTCTTGCTCTAATGTTGTTGTTTCAAGTTTTGTCAATTCGATTTCTAGATTTTCTACTTCCGTCGGTTCAACATGTGCTTGTTTTGTTTCTGTAGATTCTACTGTTGTTCGGTCCGATTCGATTGGTTCAACTTTTGACAATTCTATAGTTGCCACCATTTCTTTATTTATGACTTCAGCTGATTTGTCTTTTATTGTCTCTATGTCTGTTGGTTTAACTGTTGATTGTTCATTTTCGGTTGTTTCAGCTTTCGACAGTTCAACAGCTGTTGTCTCTGTTAGTTCGACTTTTGTTATTTCCATTTCTGTTTTTTCAACTATTGGCTTTTCCGTTTCGATTGATTGATTTTTTGATGGTTCTACTTTTGTTGGCAATATTTCAGTGGTTTCGATTTTCGCTGGTTCATCATTCACTTTTTCTGGTTCAGTTGGTTCAACTTTTGCAGATTCTGTATCGTTGAATTTCTCTTCATGAATTTCTTCTTTCGTTGTATCAACTTTTCTTGATTCATTTTCACTTGTTTCAGGTTTTGTTAACTCCTGATTCTCTTGGTTTAATTTTTGTAAAATCTTCTTTTATTGATTCAATTTCGGTTGGTTCATCTTTTACTTTTTCTGGTTCGGTTGGTTCAACTTTTGGTGGTTCTTCTTTCGTTTGCACCTCTTCTTTAGTTTCGACTTTTGTTGGTTCAGTTTCGGTTAATTCAGCTGTTGCTTGTTCTTTTTCCATGAAAGCCGTTTTATTAATTTCAACTTTCACAGTATCAACTTTGATTGGTTTTTTTATATTTGTTTCGGCTTTAATCGGCTCTAGTTGGGCTGATTCGACTTTGACTGGTTCTTTTTCTATTGAAACCGTTTCATTAGTTTTGATTTTTAGCGTTTTATTTTTTTCTTCTTCATTTTCGTTTGTTTCAGCTTTCGTTTTCACTATTTCCGTTGTTTCTGCTTTTGCTGGCTCTATTTCTTTTGATTCAATTTTCGCTGGTTCATCTTTTGCTTGTTTCGTTTCTGTTGACTTAACTGCGGCTTGTTCTGGTATGTGTGGTTCAACTTTTGGTGGTTCTTCTTTCGTTTGCACCGCTTCTTTAGTTTCAACTTTTGCTGGTTCAGTTTCGGTTGATTCACCTGTTGCTTGTTCTTTTTGCATTAAAGCCATTTCATTACTTTCAACTTTCGCAGTATCTACTTTGATTGGTTCTTTTATATTTGTTTCGGCTTTAATCGGCTCTAGTTGGGCTGATTCGACTTTGACTGGTTCTTTTTCTATTGAAACCGTTTCATTAGTTTTGATTTTTAGCGTTTCATTTTTTTCTTCTTCATTTTCGTTTGTTTCAGCTTTCGTTTTCACTATTTCCGTTGTTTCTGCTTTTATTGGTTCTGTTTCTTTTAATTCAATTTTCGCTGGTTCATCTTTTGTTTGTTTTGTTTCTGTTGACTTAACTGCGGCTTGTTCTGGTATGTCTGGTTCAACTTTTGGTGGTTCTTCTTTCGTTTGCACCACATCAACTTTCGCTGGTTCAGTTTCGGCTGATTCAAATTTAGATGAATCTAGTTCTGTTGTTTCAGCTTTCAATGGTTCCGTTTCAGTCGATTCAACTTTCAAAGATTCTTTATCCGCCGTTTCAGATGATTCTGATTCTTTCTCAGCTTGCTCGGCAGATGGCGCTTTACTCACTTGTTGCTCACTACTTTCGATTACTGTTTCTATTTGTGATTTTGTTAATTCAGGCACTTTTGATTTATCATTAACTTCATCACAAGTTGATTTTGATTCCAATTGATCAATTAATGTTTCAGCTTTTTGATCTATTGAATTCGATTCTTTTTTTGCTTCAATTATATCTGGAATATTCAATTTTTCATCTTTATCAGATTTCGCTTCGCTAACTTTTTCAATAATTTCTTGTTCAATAACTTTCTGGCCAGGTTTTTCTTCGTTGAAAGCTTGGTCAGTAAAATTTGTTAATTTTTCATCAGTTTTTGTGATTATCACAGTTTCAGTAGCTGTACACTTTGGTTCCGTTCCAGATTCAGGCACTTGTTCAACAGGTTTCTTTTTGATCACATTCACATCCATTATTTTTTCCTCCACCATTTCACCTTCCGTCACATTATTATTCTGATCTTTGACTTCTTCATTCTCTTCCTTTCTTAATTGTGATTCATGTTTTTCTTCAAGTTTTACATCAGATTTATTCATTTCTGATTCTAATGAATGTTCATGATCTGTTGATTTATCTGTTTCAGTTTGAATTTCTTGTTCAATTTTTTCTGTAGAAGATTCTGAATCTTGACTTTCATCTTCAATCATTTTCGATTGTTTTGTAGCCATTGTCATTTTTGTTTCTTGTTCAACAATTTCATTTGATTTGTCAACAATTTGTTCTACTTTATTGGACAATGTTTCTGATTGTAAGTCAATTTCTTGCCCTTTATCAACCACTTTCTGATCAATCAATTCCATTGAATGAGAATCTTTAATTGTTGAACCTTGTAAAAGTTCGATAAAATGTTCATTATCAACATCGTTTGATGTTAGACTATCTAATTGATCATGATCAGTTTCATAATCAATTATTTCTTGACCAGCATTTGTTGTTGTTGCTGCAGTTACTGAAGTTTCATCATCATCATAATCAACACTGGTTTTTTGTATAACCTGTTGTTGATCAGTAATCATAGTTGAAATTAAATCTCGTTGATGTTGGTGTTCATTTTTAGCTAGTTCAACAGCAGCTGCACGCATAACTGCTTCAGTTTTCATTTGTTGCTGTTCCATTCGTTTGGTTATCTTACGGACTTCTTCATCCGTTGATGATCGGATACTTGTTTCTTCACTCAATGCTTCGGATGAAGCCGGTAATTGAATTGGTCGTTCAACGTTTTCCATCTCTTTTGTAGTCTTTTCTTCCAATGTCTCATTGCTCACTTGTTGTTGAGATATCGATTGTTGTTGGTCTCCAATTAATTTTCGACGTACAACTGGTCTTGGTACAGGTTCTTCAGATGAAATCTTTTGGTCAATCATTCGATTCGAACTAGATCCAATTTGTCTATTTGTATTATTCATATAATCTATGTTACCGCTTGTAGCCATTGTTGTCGTGATGCGTTTAGGTTTTTGTTTGGTTTTGGGCGGAACTGGTTGTAATTTCGTTGTCGATGTAATTTGATTCGTTCGTGGCGGTGCTGATTGTAATGGTGGTTTACCTATTAAACGATTTTCTTGTGTATTCGGATGAGTCGATGATACTTGATGACCACTTGTATGACGTTGAACTGTTGTCATAGTTTGTCGATTTACAATTGAATGATCAATTGTTGGTTGTTGGTGTTGTCTGGTAGTTGTTCTGGATAATGCTGTCGTTGTAATTGGCTGTTGACGACGAATATTTGTCGATTCCGTATTGATTATTCTTGATTGATGAATCGTCGGCGGTGATACTGATCGGAATCGGCTATATCTACTTGGTGTTTCTGAACGTCTACTATTCATTTGTCTAGTTTTGCTTGTTGTTGTTGTTGTTGCACGACCAGTTGCACTAGTTTTCTGTTGACGTGAACGTAATAAATTTGGTGCTACCGATAATGATCGGCCAAATTGATGTAAAGAACTTGTAGATACAATTGTAGGTATAGTTTTTTCATAACGAACTTTGAAATTTTGTTCCAATTGTTCACCAGTACATGGTGTACGTTGATGTAATAACATATCTAATTCAAGTAGTTCAGTAAGATTTGATTTACATTCCGGACGTTCGTTTAATAATGATGTTGGGATGGCATTCGATGTATTCATCTGTTTACGTGTTGGCATGAAACGTCTTGATAAACGACTTGATCCATTTGTTGTTGATTCAGAAACAGTTTGATCAAATTTCGATATAATCATTAATGATTGAAAACCTTCAAGAATTTGAGCTTGAGTACAGTTGCCAGGAAATAGAATACGAACAATACGTTTGGCTGGATTATGTGGTCGCCAAATTAATAGACTACAGATTGATTGTTGATCAGCTTCTGGAATGTTTTGCTGTTCTGATTCCATTAATTCTTGTTGTTGTTTTGTTGGTGTTGAACGTCCACTTGAACTTCGAACAGTGGTACGACCACCACCAATATTACTAATCGTATTGGCCAAAATTCGATCCAACGTTGGATTTAATACATACATATATAATGTGCCTACGCCTACTTTATGATACAAAGTTATTGGTGTAGGCGGAAGTGGAACTGACTTAGTATCACGATTAGATGAAACCGATTCTTTTTTGGTTTCCTTATTCAATGAATCAATGTTTCGTATACAAGCTAATGGATGAATTTTTAGATCATTTAGTGTTTGAAAGAGCTGTCGATTGAGTTCATTTAATGATATACGATGATCATCCAGAACGATTGGTTCGTTTCGTATACCACTGCTAGTTTGATCAATCGACGATTCCGATGATAATGATGTTGGACTTAATTGTGGCCCTGAAAGATGATCATTACAGAAGAGGTAGCCAATTCTTGGACATTGTCCAAACGAAACATTTGGATGACAATGTTGGCGAATTGATTTCAATGTCAATAAACTTAGTAAACCGAAAAAATTATCTTCTCCCAAATGTGTTACCTGTATAATATGATTTGAATATTTTAAAAATTTATTTCATCAGCAATCATAAATCATTGACACTCACCACAATAGAATCAAGACGTTGCAAATGTTTAATAAAAGGCCATATTGTTCGAGGTGCTGGCATATAGCCAGCATCAAGAAGCATCGTAAAACCACTGTCCAATGACAATAAAGCACAATCGCCTTGTCCACTAGGAAATACATACATGGTCGGCTGTTGAAGCCGTACAAATCCAACTGTATCGATTGGATCCTGTGTACAAATTACTGAAGCCAATGAATTTCCAAGACCAGCACCGCCACGTTCTTGCGGCTGCATTAGCCATTCAAAATGCCAAGCAAGTCGATCACCCAAATAGTTGAGCAAACTTTGGGCACCTTTATCGGGTAACGTATCTAATGGGCTCATATCCTGTTGTTCAGGATTCAATGCAAAATGAAAAAGAAAACGTCGAACATTATCAATTTGGCCACTGGTTATATTCGGTACTGATTTCGATGTAGAAACAATACTAGATGGACGTTTCGAATTATATCGATTGCTTGAAGTTGTAGCCGATCTAGTATTAGTAGTGGCTGTAGCTCGATGATGAAGATCATTGAGAATTAATGATGAAGTTATCGATGTTGTCATCGAATGTGTGTCGATATGATGTCGTGAAAATATATCACGTAATATAGCCCATTCACCAGCTGGTTCGGTATGTAAATAAACAACCACATCATGTGAACTAAGATGTTCAGCAATTGATCGATGTCCATTACATGGATCATTACCATTATCATTGTCAGCATTGGATATATCATGATAAATTTTATTCGATCCATTTTGATTCGATCGTTTATAATTAGTGTCCACTTCTTCAATTAATTCATAGAAATTATATGCTGAAAATGTACCATCAGCCAATAACCATGATCCTGTTTCGGAGAATGTTGCTCCAGCATAGATAATTTGTACCTGACCAGTTGGTGAACGTAATACATTCTGTAAACATTGACTTAATGTTAATAGCGATGGATTGCATAATACTTCTACGGCTAATGATTTTTGAGCATATTGTAATAATATTTGACCTAATATAGTTGATTGAAAATAAATTACAAAAAAAAATTTTTTGTTGTTGTCATTTAAAACATTTTCCAGATAATAATCTTTTTTTTATCATTATTTTTACCGTTGCCATCTGCGTTCGATTCGTTTCTCAGTTGTTGATCATCCAAATTATCAAGAAATGATTGCAATTCTTTTAATTCATTTTCATCACGGACACCGGTAGTTGATTGCCAAATAGTTAAACCTATTTAAATAAATGGAATTGACAATTATGAATTTTTGATTGATTTTTGGAGTGAAAGAAGAAAAGAAATTGATCGATTTCTTGGTTTCATTTAATATAAAATATCAAATTTCCGAATACGAATACGAATTGCTATTTTCAAATATTATTGATTCATTCTTTGTGCGATCGATTTTTTCACACTTTTTCTTCATGATATTAATAGCTTCCTGTTTTTTTTTTGTTTTGTTTCTTCCATTCATTACATTGATATTTTGATATGTCGGTCGATGGACCGGGATTTCGAATGCCTAATGGAAAAAAAGGGGCACGATACATACTGGTAAAAATTCATGCGTACTGGATCAATGCGACAATCCAAAAAAAAATTCTGACTGCAATCCTGTATATATTATATACAATCGTACAACATGATAGACACATTAATGGTTTATAATAGACATTCGATTTCATTAACAGGAAAATAAATGTATGTGTATTTATATTTACTACTGTCATCAAAGATGATGATGTAGAAAATAAACACCTACATAACTTGAATTACGATGTGTTTGTGTATCATTACTGTATCGTTTTTTTTCTCTCTTTTTCCCAATAACCATAATTATCATATATATACAGGAAATTTTTTTTTCAACCATAATCCTATCATTACTAGTGACAACAAGAAAGAATGAAAAAAAACAAAACAAATCATCATTATTCTAAAGGACAAACTAACCTTTACGAATTTGTTGTATTACTTTAGCAACAAAACCACTTGTCCATCGACGATTAAATTCTTCCAATTCGGATTTTTGTTGTAAAAGAATTGATGATAAATCATTTGATGATGATAATAATGTTTGATGTCTTAACCATGATTGTTGCCGTAATTGATCGCAACCATCGCTAATAATTATAAGCAAATAGCATCCTACATAACGGAAATTACATGATGGCGTTTGTTGAATAGCCGATAATGTAGTAGTTGTTGTTGTTGTCGATGATGATGGTGCTGGTGAATGTCTTGATGACGGTGATGGTGTTCGGGTTGTTGTTGTTGCTGTTCGTATTCCTTGTTGTCGTGATTGTTGTTGTTGTTGTTGTTGATGATAATGATAATGATTAGTAGCCATATTTATTGATGTTGTATGATGAATAGAATGTGATGGTGATGATGATCCAGAACGATGGCCAATTGTATTAGTAGCCATTATTCGATTATCGGCTGTAGCCGGAGAAAAACTTCGTCTTGACATTTGTATTTTTGTTGTTGAAATCTAATAACTAAATAGTATTCTACGAACTGTTTTATCATAAAGAATTGAATTCTGTTTTTTTTCCGAAATTATTTGAATTCTAAATGAGAAAAAAAAAATTACATTGAAAATAATAAAATCAAAATCAAATTATTTTTGAATTTATGATGACGATGATGATGATGATAATTGTAATGTATTGTTTCTAATCCGAACAGTTTACAATCGTTGAATATTATTCGTTTTCTGATTAGTCATTATCAACTTGGTCATTGAATTCGCATCAAAAAAAAAACAGATAACAAACGTCAATATAATAAAAACAACAAAATCACAGGTCAAATATGTTCATATATCGATCGATTAGTATTAATTAGAGCAATGAAATGATTGATCAAAAAAAAAATGAATGGAGAGTGGAATGAATGAAAAATTAGGGTGCCGAATTGTGATCGTTATTGATCAATAAATTGTCACCAAACAAAAAACAGAAATAGAAAAAAAAAAAAAAAATCAAGTGATGAATTATGTTATAAGTGAACTACTGAACTATTGAAAAATTTTTATTTTTATTTTATTTTTTTCTAACTAATAAAAATATTCGCTATATACTAATATATTGATGTGGATTATAATAGTTATAAGAAAAAATGATGAGGACGATGACGACGATGATGATGAAATATTCTAAGAATAAAATATGAGAATATTCTTCACTTGTTATCACACATTGGGGCAACAAACACACACACACACGCAAAAAATAAGTGAGATGAGTAAAACTATATGATGGTAATGAATTCAATGGAAATTCTGATGAACATTTTTTTTTCTTAAATAGTTTTTCTCTTGAAATTATTGTAAGAAAAAAAAAATTTTTTTTCTCTTCCAAAATAAATTTTCATCTTTTTTTTTCTTGTTTTGTTCATTCAAATAATAATTATCACAATCATTATGTGTCAGTATTCAATTCCACTGATGACCATTGTGATTCTGTGGCACATAAAATAATCACAGTACAAATGAAATCAAGAATAAAAGATGATTATCATCATGATCATAATTATCGATGAATTTCTTTTTCCAATCAAAATCAATTGATATAAAATAACACACACACACACGAACACACAAAAATGATAATAATGATGATGATTGACTAATTTTTGGACTGTGAGAAGACTACCAAAAAATGAATAACCGGTTGGTCGGTAAATCAGCTTTTGAAGAATTTTTTTTTTTTCTTTATTTATCTTTGCTCATTGGTTATATGAATTTCAAAGATTCTAATGTCTATATCTATGTATACTACGTCGTCTGTTATATTCACATTTTTTTTCTTTTTTGCATTTCGGTCAATTCAGAGTGTCGCAATAATACACACGTATACTTTACATTTGGATATCTACATCATCATCATAGCGACAATACAGGAAATCATCATCATTTTTTTCTAATGTTATCATAGAGATTCATTTAAAAATAACGTAAACATGTAAACAAAGAAAATCAACATATATATATATATACAAAGTGATAGCAATAATAATCGTATGATCACTGTATTCTATTTCAAGTTTTTTTTGAGGTTTCAAATACCGCAGTGCTTTGTAGAGCATGTTCCAGAAACATTCAAGCACACACACACAGCGCATCAAAAAAAAAACTTCTGTATACATCAAAATGTTTATCCGGTTTATGGATCAACAACGAACAAAACAAAAAAAACACCGGCCCATGCCGGTCGGCCAAGAAGTTTTTGCAGTACTAGAAATGTACAATGAAAAAAAAATCTGGCATCACTGGTATTAGAATATAATGAATTACTTCTGCCATATACACATAATATACACATACTCGGACCCGAGTGGGTAAAAATTGTAAAAAAAAAAACATTACTGCATTGCAGTTTTTTTCCCTTTTATATTATCACTTCAAATAAGCTATATATAATAATAATAGTGTGTGTTAAATGTTATTTTTATTTAGACTTATCGATTGAGCATGACTTTTCATTCAAATCTATAGGACTAGGACCCATCTTTTGATATGATTATAGCCGATACTGATATATCCGTTTTATTATGAAAAACTAGTAAACACTATAGATCAAGAGAATATAGATAGATTGATAACCAAACAAAACAATAATAATAAAAATCTTGATTCTGGTTTTTTTTCGAGAATTATTGTGATCTCCTATTCATTATTATTGTTGTTGTTGTTGTTTTTTTTTTTGAAAACAAAATTAACAACAAAAACAAGAAAAAAAATAATAGCTAGAATATATGATTCATTCTCTTGTTATTGTCAAATGAAAATGTACATATATAAACATTATTATCGTTGCAATCATTGTTGTTGTGGTTTTTGTTTTGTTTTGTTTTCACAATATCGGTTTAGCTTTAAAATTTCGATTTATATATATATATATGTTTCTATTCTATTTATGGAAAGCTAATATTCAACAATGTATATGTGCAAATGTGTATATTATAGTAGAACAAATATAATGCACAAAAGTCATCATATAATTATATATATACTAGCAGAAGAATAATCTAGATTGTTTTTATGGTCTATGTGATACAATAGATTTTTTTTTTTTTTTAATCGATTTTAGATTAATCAAAATATATTCGAGTGGCTAAAAAGAGATTTTCACATTGAATTTTCTTTTGTTGTTGTTGTTGTTTTTTTAATAAATGACGATTATCGAAAAGTTGATAGTATAAAAGAAGCTTGTTGCGTCATATATGAATCATGGTGTAATAAAAAATGCAAAATACTGATCAAATTTATTGGCTAGATTCGTTATTGCTCATTTATTAATGGATAGAATTTTTTTGAATGTTTTTGATAGTTCAAAACATGAAAACTAAATCAGAATATTGATCAACATTATTCTGTATATTCGTGTGTGTGTGTGTATGTGTGCGTTATGAATAATTTCTGAAACACCTGCGTGTGTCAAAGATTTCTTTTTTGGGAGGGGACGGGAATGAAGAAATCTTTCAATTATTCAATTTCTATGAGAGTGATAAGTTGTATGTCCTATTTTCGTTTATATTCACTATTTCATAGATCGACCATCGAAAACAATCACACACACACACACGTAAATTGTGTATCCGTATGCAATCGGAATAATTAATTCATAATATGAAACAAATTAATGAATAAAAATAAACGAAATGTTACCCATAAATGAATGATGACCGTGAGCCTAACTATCATCGTCATTATTATCATCATCATCATCATCATTGAAAAAAAAATCCTACGGTCTAGACTTTTTTTTTCGAGACAAGAATATCATCATCAACATTATGCCATAATTTGTTTGTAAATGATAGTAGTAGTTTATGAAAAATTTTATGAAAAAAAATTGTAAAAGTTTTCATTTACCTTGAATAAATTGGAAAAAATTATGCTTGAAACAATATGTGAAGAATACACAGTGTTATCGATAGAACAACAGAGTGAATGAAAATTGGTAATAGTCGATATTAAAAAAAAAGATTAGTATTATTTAACACAAAAATAAACAGACAGATGAAATAAATTCAATTGTTTTTTTTTTTTTTTTTTTTTTTGATTTAAGAATTCAATTATTGAAAATTCATTGAAATGTAAACATTAAACTACAAACTCACACAACCACATCCATAAATAAAGTGATGTCGAAATTTGGTAAACAATCAAATGTTTAGCCTGTGTGTTGTTGATATAATTTTCAATGAACATTCATGATTTGACAAGAATTTATTTTTTTTTTTTTTAGAGGGTCGAACAATAATAATTACAGGCATTTCATTTCAAACCGATTGTTTTTGTCTGGCTCATAAAAATTTGAAATTGTTCGGAATTTTGGTTTTTTTTTTTTTTTTTGTTAGTTGTGTATGTATGAGTTTGATATGACAGAATTTCTATTATATCATTTTTTTTATTGTTTTTTTTACATGCGGTATTTAGGTTCAATTTATTTGTCATTCTGTTTAATGGTTTATAGTGTGTGTGTGTGTGTGTGTAATGAAATGGTGATGGGTTGTTGTTTTCGTTGTTGATTGAGTCCGGTATCCAATGTAACGGTACTTTTTCTATTTTAGTTAGTGGTATTCATTTTTTTTTTGTTCTTGTACTTGTTTTTTTTCCATTTCACGGAAATGACAATGTCACCTTGGTATGATGATGATGATCATCATCGTTATTATTATAGTAATGATAATCCAATCTAAATTATGATATGGTCCGGTTGTTATGTGTATAAGGAAGGGGGTATATGTTTTTTTTTTGTTTTCATTTGTAATGTTCACCTGCTTGTTCATTTTTCTGACATTTATGTTTCATCAATGAATGGATATATATATAAATATAGTGGATATTATTGACATATATATATAACCTGACAGATAATTTGACAAATCATGACAAAACAGCTATTGGGCGTGATTCATCACAAAAAAAAAGAAAATAAAAACATTTTGGACTCATAATTGGCTCAATATGAATTGCCAAATCATTTTAAGCCAGGTGATTGTTTACAACAACAACAACAACAACAAAATCAAACCGAATAACTTTATTTTTTTTTTAGAATTTGATTAATGTAATATCAAACAATCGAAGAAGAAGAAAAAAAACAGACTTGTCATTGCGATATTGGATTCATCGTCATCATCGTCATAATCATCATCATATTCATTATCGTGACTTGATTTTTAAATTAAACACATAAACATTAAAAGAAAAAACTCAAAAAAAAGATCAAAAATCTGATGATTCTGTCCTTGTCTGAATCCGGTTCAAACTGTTTATTATTGAATTAATTGAATTTATTATATATACCCTTCATACTCTATAGAATAAATAAATTGAAAATAAAAATGCAATGAGGTGAAGGACCCAACAACAAATCTTACAAATCAAACATGAATTAATATACGATCAACTAAGAATTAACTTTGAAACAAATGAATGAAAAATAATTCGATATGCAAACCATAATATGATCATCATTGAATCTCGAATGTATAAGGCTTTTTAATAATAATGATTGTATATTCGAAGCAAATCTAATCGGATTAATCAACCGTGGAGCCGGTAACACATGTTGACATTACACACACACACACAAACCAAACGCAGCCTATAATCAACAAAACCCGCTGTATATGATAAGTATGTTGACAATGTAATATATTGTTGGCCTTTTGGATCGTGTTGTACCTGATAATAATGGTAGCCAAAGAAAAAAAAACCACAGCTAAGCGTACCTTGCGGTCTGTCGTTCGGTTGGTCGGTCGATCGGTCGATCGGTCGTTTGATCTATTCGATCTATTTCGTTTAGATAACTAGATAGCACAACAGCTGTAATACCAAAAAGAAAAAACAAGGAGAAAAATATCCGTGAAAAAAAATCGACCAGCCAGATGCTAGAATATTGGATCAAAATCCAAAATCAAAAGAAAAATATGAACAACTTTAATCATTGTGTTGAAATCAACTCGCTCGTTTTGCTAATTATCTTCGCTTTTCGCATTATGTATAATACTTGAATCTATGTATTAAATACATTTGTATATTTGTGTGTGTGTGTGTGTGTGTGTGTGACAGATCGCGTATTGGATATACGATAGTGGTGATGATGATGATGATGATGACAGCGAGATATCCAGAGCATTAAACATCACACGTATTATAATGTATGGATATACCACAAATTAGTACTTATTTTTTTTCTTCTTTGTTGGCTTGTTGACTTATTATTGCTGTCGATTGGTTGATTTGGTTGTGATGATGGTTGGTGGGTTGATTCTATTCAAAATTCATCCACCATTCATTGAATTATTTGTCACCTTTTTTTGTGCATTATAGAATTCTATATGAATTAAAGGCCTTCAATGGGCTTGATGAAGACTGAAAAGTGGGCAAAGTGTGAATGAATAAGAGCAAAGTGTATGTATGAAGAATATAAGCTTTTCTGAAAAGAATTAGTTATGCACTTGCCAGTTGGTTTCAATTCACTTGCAATTTTCTCTCTTTTTTTTCCATTCTCGTCTATGGATCATGATTCGTTCGAAACGTTTTGGCAATTTAGATTATTCTTTTAACAATTGTTCTCCCGATCCTCTCTCTCTTTCTTTCTTTCGTAGTCACTTTTACGAATTTTCTATGTTGATTCGGATTCTTCGTTTTGGATAGAAAAAAAAATGTTTACCATAATAACCATGACATTTTGCTGCTATTTATGATACTGGTTGACTGGCCATAACATCTTTGGGCTAACCACCAACACCATCACCAACAACACCACTATGATAATACAATGCTTTGGAATATAATAATAAAGATCAATAGGCGCGAGACATTATCATCGAACCAAAGAGATTTTGTTTGTGTGTGTATGCCAAAGAGAAAGTGCCGAAACAAATGGACCAATGAAACTATGGAACAATGGATTGGATGGATTGAATAGTTTGAATACAATCAAAAATAAAAAGGCAAGATGTGACAAACCATGAGAGAAAAAGAGAGAGAGAGAGAGAGAGAAAAAATATACCACCACACACAGCTTAGGATGTGAATCTGTTCATGGTGTCATCTGGTCCAATTGGATCAAGCTGGTTGGTGTCATGTGTCGATTGTTCGATAAGTTTGTTTGTATGTGTGTATGTTTTTATTTGTCCGCATCATTATCATATGGTCGAAGCACTTGTCGTTTGTTGTTGTTGTTTGTCAATTGAATGTTGATCGTCAAACGATGCAGACGTCGTAGAATCATCAAGAATCAATAATATCATCAAAATAATATGATGGATGTCAGCAATATTGACCATAGACATAGTAATGACAATATGGTAAATGTCATTGCTGGTTCTTGGATCGCACCAAATTGTCGATCAGCTATTTTTCATTTACATATTTCAAGATTGTTGACCATTCTGGAAACGCCCGTTTCAAACACTTGTCATGATGTTAAAATTTCAGCCACAAATGGTAATCTTTCACCATTGATAATTTCCGATTTGAATAATAATGAAATTGAAAATGATAATGCAACTGATTGGTTAAATCATGTAAAGTTGGCATCTAATTGTTTTGAACAAAATTTGATTGCATTTCCGGCTACTACTTATTCTTCTTGTTCGACTAGTCACCATCATCATCAGTATCAATTGCCTGTATTTTTCATTGTAGTCAAATCAATTGAACCTGGTGAACAATTACGTTTCTGGCCATGGATTGGTCTATCCATGCAATTAGGTATTCCAGCATTTTTATCACCAAATAACATTATTAATGATCATTGTTATATATGTCATCAATGTGGTCGTTCATATTCACAACCAAATCCATTGAAAATTCATTTAATGTTAACATGTCCAAGTGTTAAAGAGAAACCAACATTTGAAAATAATAATAATAATAATGTAAATTATAATCGAAAAATTTCTCCAACAACATTTCAACAAACAATGAATAAATGGATGGAAAGAAAACATTTAAAATTAGACAACAGTAAACGGTTTATAATGAATGAATCAACCGATGCAATGGCAAGCTCAACAATGTCGATTACGTCACCAATTTCAACAGCCATAACGATGACTACGACGACAACAACAACAACAACAACAACAACAACAGCAATGACAACAACAACAATGATGATGACAACGATAACCGATATGTCCAATAATAATAATGTAAATCTATCACGAAGATTACACACCTGTTCATATTGTGGTAAAGTTTATACAAGAAAATATGGTCTAAAAATTCATATCCGTACACATACAGGAGTTAAACCATTAAGCTGTCGATATTGTGGTCGATCATTTTCCGATCCATCTAATCTAAATAAACATATGCGTCTACATACACAACATTCAACATTACAACAACAACAACAACAACAACAACAATCGGCAAAAAATAGAGATCAATTATCACAAATAATTCGCCATCATCATCATATTCATCATAGAATTTAAAAAAATTCATTATGCATAATAAAATCAAGTGAAATCATCATTGACATTCTAGTCACATTTTAATTATTGCTTAATTTAAAAATAAAGAAAAAAATTTATTAAAATTTAATTTGATAAAAATTCTTGAAATTTAATTATCATCTATAGATGATTTTGCTGATATTGTTGTTGTTGTTGATGATGATGCAGACCTTCATATAATATCTCTTCATAGATATGATTATCCACTGTAGCCAATGTTGATCTTGAACGGGCCGTTGTACTTGTAGAACATGATGATGATGGTGATGTTGAACGATTCAATGATGGCTCAAACGATATTGGTTGATCAATACCAATTGTATGTGAATTATTTGAATTCAATATTTTTGCTGTAAAATTATTGTTTGAAATACCAGAATTGCCATTTGAATTTGCAATAGTCGTAGAAGTCGGTGTTGAAGTTGTTGCAATGATTGAATCAATTGTTGTCTGTTCATTTTCAAAACTTTCTGACCAATTTGACAATTGATCCATCAGTCGATTGATTGATGGTCCTTTAATCGGATCCGAAAGTAATGTGTATAATTCTTCTTGTCGAAATTTGCCATTAGCATTAGCGGCTTTTATCGATTCAATCGATTCGTTTGACAAGGATTTTGATTCATTCTTGCTAAATCTTTTCGAATCATCGGAAATTATTTGAGGTTTATTATTTTTGGATTCTTGTGCTAATGTAGCCATCCATTGATCTAATGAACAATGATTTCGTTGTACGATACTGGTTATTGGCATCAATATTGTTGGCTCAATACGATAATCATTAGATGATGACATAATAGATGCATGTATCCGACGATTAATATTTGAAGATTGTCGATTCGAACGACTGTTACTTGATTGATTGCTATTGTTACAAGAAGTTTTCGCTCGAGATTTGTTTGTTTTAGATTCTTGTTGTGAACCATTATTATGAATTGTATTTGAATGATTAAATGTATTTGAATTTGATTTTGTCAGCTGTGATTGTTGACGATATTTGTCTTCAATCATTTGTATGAAGGTAAGACAAGGCATTCGATTGATGTCATTATTATCATTTCGAATATGATTTTTAATAGATTTATTTGTTTTATTCGAAAATTTCTCAGCAACATTATCATTTCTAGTTGATTGATCCATCGGATTAGACATAGTATTAGTGGAATCAATTGGTCCATAAAATAATTGATCTATTTGACTTTCCAATAATGATTGGTTATTTTCGTTGACTGATGATGAATTATTTATAGATTTCTTTTGGCTAGCTGTTATAATTGGTCGATCAATTGTTGTTCCATTGCAATTAATGGCATCGATTCCAATAACATTGTTTGCCTGAATGTTTGATGATTGACTTAGTGAATAACGAAGTTTAGCGCACAAAGGATCCTTAAGAATAGATTTGAAACCGGTACTTTGTAATGGTGTTGTTTTTCTTGTCATAGCGCTAGTGATGGAAGGGTTCCATTGCTGAATTTGATGCTGTTGGTTATTCGTACGTGTCTGAATAAATTGTGCAGACGATACATTTGCATACGATGATGATGATGAGGTCGTTGGAATGATATCTGTAACTGAGATCGTTTGATCAATTGATGGATTTGAATTCAATGTTGATGTCGATGATGATGAACATGTTTGCGCTGTTGGTTTATCATGATTAGATTGAAATATGCTAATTAATGGATCATTAATTGAATTGATTGCATTATAATTTCGATCATTATTATCTTGTTTCTCTTTGTTAACTTGAACTTCATTACTAAAACGAACTCGTGATGAACGTTGTTGTAATAGTTGGTCATTCGAATCAGAATCCTGATTAGCAGCTGAAATGCTCAATTTGGCTGAATTGAGAAAATTTAATTAGAATAAATGAAAAAAGGTGGAAATTTTTTTTCAAACTTACCTATATCTGATGATTGAATGTTGTTTTTTGTTAGAAATTGAATTTCATTATCATTGATCATCATACCATCAACATCATTATGATCGGATAATTCTGATGGTGGTGTTGGCGATTGTGATGGCGATGGTAATGATGAAGATGAAGATGATCGATCTGAATATATAAAAGATGATGATGCAAGAATGGATATTGTTTCCAATAATGGTGCACGTGTTCCACTATTATCGCCATCACCAGTTATGGCCATCGATTGATCATTGATTATCGAACGATGACGATGATGATGATGATGATGATGAGATAATGATCGTGATTCACGTGAAAATCGATCCCCAACAATGGCTGATATGTTTTTATTATTATTCGTACTATTCATAGCTGTAGATGGAAATTCTGCATCACTTTTCATCGTAATTATGATAATACTTAAATTTCATCGATGATCATGGTAATGAATAAATTGACTAAATAAAAAAGGAATTTTTGGCTTGTTAGGCAATTGTGACCAAACAACAATGGCACTATACCTGGAATAAAAAGAAATTGCTTGTTGTTATTCATCATTTATTCTCACTCAAATTCGAGGTTGTTTAGTTGTCGTAGTGGCCGTGACCAAAACAACAACAACAACAACAGGTCATCTTGATAGACCGAATGTATCAACCGAACTAAAAATTCGGTTGCTACCGTGGCCAAAAGATGGCGACTAATTTGAATTCGGCCCACAATATATTGATGAATTGTTAAAGCCCGATAAATAAATAAAAAACCGCTTACAATCGGTATAAAATGTTCATGATCATGCATGTGTGTGGTATAACAATGTTGGAGTAGTAGTGGCTCTATAGAATAATTAAGCATTTTATTATTGGGCCAACAAATAAATAATAACATTTCAGGCGAGTCCGAAATGTTTTTTTTTTTTTTTTGTGCAATAACAAACTGATGATCGATTTCTAATAAGAATTTCCTTTTTGTTTGTCCTAATTATATTTCCTACATAATTCTGTGATCGTTATCACGATTTGAATGATTTAAAGGTTTAAGATGAAAATTTCCGCTTGAATCGTGATATCCACCTTCATTGTGATTTTGATATATTCGAATGAAAAGCCGCCCATTTTTAGTGGCCTTTTTTTTCTCATTTCTGTTACGAATGATTCAGTAATTGATTTATTTCATTCTGAATTCCAGAATCAGGGAACAAACAAGAAATTAAATAAAAAAACTATGACCAACCACCGACAATGGTACCGACCAATTATTTTCCGTATATTGTCAAATGCTAAACGAATTTTGATTATTATTGTCCTGACATCAATGCTCACATCATGGCTATTATACTGTTGGGTATATTCCAATCCTTTGGACGTAACAACAGAATCATCAAGTGATTTAGACCACCGCAATAATTATTATTATTTTCAATATTCATCATATAATAATAATCGAACATCGCCATTTTCTTTCGATGGTTATGACAACGATTCATTTGTTTTTGATACAAATTTATCATTGTCTAATACCAATCCTATCTTACGAACTGGTCGGTTAGTTACCTATAATAACCGAATACAAAAGTCAATCATCAATATTGAGAATGATAGCTATAATAGTACGGTAGCTATACAAAATTGGATCACAAAATGTCAACCATATATTGCCCGTTATTTTGATGTTTGCCAAAAAACTGAACAATCAACCAGCGATGATGATGTTGATGATAGCAAAACAGCTGAATTAAACACACATGTACAATTGCCCGATTATTCTGACCATTCATTACCAATAAGTGAGTATAATTCCAATAAACAAATCATTAATTTGTCAATTTCTATCCAAACAGATGGATTATCTGATCGATTATATTTATATCAAGCTTATGAGCGTTTCGAACAAAATGATAAATATTCAGTGGTAATTATTTCAATTGTCAATAGAAGCATTTATTGTCCAGATGATGATAATGATCAACCTCAACAAAATGATGAAAATCAGTTGTATTGTCAGCTACAAATAAATGGAAATGTTATTTTATCAAAAGCCAATTTGCAATGTCTTCCTGAACATCATAATTATTTATATACTGCTGCCGTCATTAAATGTTTTCCATCCTCATCATTCATATCTAGTTTTGATTTTGTAAGAATTCGAGAAAATTTGGAACAATCAAAATGGCTTCCAATTCATAACCGACAAAAATATTCGAACAAATCCATTCAATCAGTTGTTTGTGTTCGTCCATTATTTGGATCGATTAATGTGCTCAATCTATTTGAATTCATTGAATTTTATCATAATCAAGGTTTTGATCGAATCATTTTCTATCATTATGCTAATGGTAATTTTACTGGTAAAGCCAAACGTTTATTATTCTATCTAAATGAAACCATGTCTTATATTGTACAAATGAAATCAATACCATTACCTAGATTCATTTGGAAACAAATTCATTCTGGTGGTCAATTAGTTACCATTAATGATTGTCTTAATCAATATCCGAATGCAATACAATTACATGTTGATATTGATGAATTTGTTTCATTGTCTAATGGAGAATCGGAAAGAAATTACAACATGACGATCATGCAAATGATTCGAAAATATTGGTATGAATCAAAAACATCATACATAGCATTATATATTGCTAATGTATTGCACTGCCATGAATTTAATCTGGCTCATTCAAATTATTACGAATTTACAGCAGCCCGTCAAAAATATCCATTCGGATCAATCAAAAATGATGATCAATGTTATGATAATGATCAAACAAATCAAAATGGTCACAAAAATCTAATGTTGGCCCAATTGTTAGATAATCATGTAACCAATATGACGATAGAAGAGATGAAAAGTTTATTGTTGGTTCCCAATTCAATCTTTTTTCAGGCAACACTATGGCCATATCAGCTACGATCAAAAGTGATCATTCTTCGACCATGGCTAATTGATCTAATGGGCATACATCATGTTTGGAAATTTCGTCATGATTATGATATTATTGGTAATTCATTTGTTGATCAGCTTTCATATATGCTTAGATCGAAATGGACCATAGATGATAAGCAAATTTTATTCACATTTAAAAATATTGATAAAAATCAACTTTTGTTGAGACATTTTCGTTGGTGTTGTCATCTGAAACAGCCATATTGGCTACAATTATTTCAATTCGATTCATTAGATGATCAAGTTATACGTTGGAAACAGAAAAATCTAGCCGATTGGTCGACAATTGGTCATAAAGTTTTTCAACATTATAATCAATTTCGTTTTAATCATAATACCGTAGTCGATTAAAAATATCAAAATATTGATGCCTATTTTAAAAAAATAAATATTGTGATCACACACACACACACACACACACACATTCCCACTAATTTATTTAATTCAACTTTTACATTTAAACAAACACATACATTTATGAAAAAAATTTTTTTTTTTTTTGATTTATAAAACATTGGGGTAGTGTGATCAGTGTTGATTTGATTTGATTTGTTTTATATTACTCAATCATTGTTCAATAATCAAATGAATAATTTTCTATTTGTAATGGTCGAGCAATATTATCTTGATAACAACTTGATCTCTTTCTTTCTCTAAGCTATCTAACTAACTAATCTATCTATATTCACTTACACATACACACACACACAAAAAACATGCAAACAAAATTGAATCTCACATTTTAATTGTTGATCAAAATGTTTATCTTAATGTTATATGTTATATATAGGGAATGTGTTTTGTTTTGTTTTGTTTTTGTTTTCGTCTTCTCAGATAAAAAAAAAATCATAATCATATAGTCTCCAAGCACACAGAACAAGTGGAAAAAAAATCTTGATTATGTTGAAAACAGCCTTGATAGAAATCACACATGATGAAAAAAAAACTTTTATTTATAGAATTCCGTTTTATTTTTGTTATTATTATTATTATTATTGAATGAAAATCAGAACAAAAAAAAAAATGAAATAAAATTCGTAGCAATAATTCAATTATATTCGAATTATTTTGGATGCAATGGCGGATGTTGTTGTTGTTGTTGCTGATGATGTTGTTGTTGTTGTTGTTGTTGTTGTTGATGAACGGAATGTGTATTGAATTGTGGATTCTGTGGTTGACCTCCATATTGATTTGGATGCATTTGTTGCTGTTGAGATGGATTATATTGTTGTTGTACATTTGGCATCTGTTGCTGCTGAGCAGGATGATTGATCATTGGTTGACCCTAAATTAGGCTGTTGTTGTTGTTGTTGTTGTGGTATCATTGGTTGATTTGGAACATTTGGATGATATTGTTGACCAATTGGTGAGGGTAAATTATTTTGATTTGGATGCTGTTGTTGTTGTTGTTGCTGCTGCTGTGGTGGCATTTGTTGATGTTGATAGGTTTGTGGTGGTAATTGTACATGTTGATATTGTACCGGTTGTTGGACATGTTCTGGTGGTGCATTTACAACATAAACTTGATGTTGTTGCTGTTGTTGAGGTTGTCCATGCTGTTGTGGTTGATTTGGATTTTGAACCTGATAATATATTGGTTGACCTTGTTGATATTGTTGTTGTTGAGGATGATATTGATATTCCATTCCAGGTTGTGGATGATAACCATAAGCACCATATTTAGCATAATGTTCTTGTAATTGTCGTCGTTCTTGTTCATAACGTTTCAATTCTTCTTCAGTATAAACGGGTGCTTCTTCAATACCTTTCCAGCCTTCATCACGATTAAATTCTGCTTGCTTACTATAATCAAGAAATTCTTTCTTTGAAATCAGACCATCACGATTAGTATCAAATTCTCTATAAATATGTTCACGCATACGATGATATTCTTCCATCATTTCATTACGATCATAAGTTGAATCATTTTCATTATATAATTTTTTAACTTCAATTGTCAATATTGATTCCACTTCTTCTTGGTCTAAAAATCCATCACCATTGATATCATGCATTTGGAAGAAAATTTTTGGATCAAATTCCTGTTCAGGCATATGATCCTGTTCTTTCCATACTTCTTCCAATTGTTGTTTACTACCCGGATGATGAACTTTTGGATGTTCAAAATGTTTCTTTTTAATTTCTTCATGTTTTTTTTCCGCTTCGACTTTCTGTTCGGATGTTAAATTCTGTAATGATTCACGATAATGAAGTTCTTTTTCCATTTCATATTGTTTAAAATCTCGTCGCCGTTTTTTATCCAATTCATCCAGATCTTTGGTAGCTTGTAAAATTAATTTCTGAAGATCTTCAGCTTCGAATGTATGAGGATTCGAATGATCCAGATGGGCGGCATTTCCGTCATCTAAAAAATTCAAACAAAAAAATTGAATTACTATGTGATGAAAAAAAATATTCAAGTTTCATTCTCATAATAACCACACTACAGCTATACTAAACTAATCATAATAGATTTTTTTTTTTGAAAGATTTCAATTTTAGTTTTGAAAAAGGAAATGAAATCAACGGAAACGACAATATAACAAAAATAATTGGTTATTTGTCGATCAGACAATGGTACAGACCAAGTAATTTGTTTGGTATTTGAGTTTTTCGTTTGTTAGTAGTGGTACGCCAACGTCGGCCGCTTTCCACATCAATATCATCATTATACGCACCATCACCGTGAGATTTTTGTGCAGCGGCCATCTCTTCCTCAAGACGATGTTCTTTCATTGCCAATTTTCTTAATCGATCCAATTCTATACGTTTTAATTCATCAAGACGATTACGAACATCCGGTGCAACTTGATCAATGATACGTGCAACATGGCCATTCTATATTCCACACGAGCAAACAAAACAAAGAATTAATTTAAATAATGTACAATTGAATTCTTTTGACAGAATTATATCACTATATATACCATAATCTGTTCATGTGTAACATTGCCTAATTTTTTTGAAAAAACTGGATCATCATCCAAAGCTTTGACAACCTCTTGAAGATAACGACCATATTCTAGTCCCTGAAATAATAAAATTTTGATCATTAAAACAAAAATTAAATTCATATTCATCAAATATAGGTACAAACCAAATCATCAATTTCTTTATCCACTTTATCATCATCATGAATTTCATTAACATTTTCTTCGATTTCATTTTCACTTGCACCAGGTATTTGTGAATGATGTATCGGTGGACGTGGTGCAGAATCCAATCCGGTAATAATGGACAATATGATCACCACAAATATCGTTAAACATAACGAATATTGTCGTGTATCCAATAACATTTTTCAATTATTATTATTATTATCGTTGATTTTGTTTTATTGTGTTGAAATTTTTTGTTCAGTTTCTTATTCAATTTCGATATAATAGATGGATAATGATAGTGGAAACAAAAAAAAACTATATATTTATTGAAAAAAAATAAAATAAAAAACGATCAATTAATAAAATGATGATGATGAATTTATCATTCGAATCACAGAAATCATTGAAACACAAAAAACAAACAAACAAACGAATAAATAAATAATAATAACATTGAATGTGGTAATGACACGTGTAATAATATAATCGTTTCAAAAAAAAAAAAAAAAAAATGAAAGAGTGAAAAAAGCCTAGCGGCATCTGAGTAAATCATCATCATGCAGTTGTTATATTTAGAGGATTCGAATGAGAGAAAAAGAGAGAAAAAAAACTTGTTTCAAATGATGACGTTTGATTTAATAGTGAAAAAAATGAAAGAAAAATTACAAACAACAAGTGGATATCCTTGTTTTTATAATGTGAACGACAGTTTTTTCTCTTTTTTTCTCTCTCACTATGTGAATGTATAAATATAACATTTAAAAACCAAAAAATATATAATAGGCCATTGGAAATGATAATAATTATGTATGAAATAAATTTAAATTACCTGATGAAATCAATAGAAAAGAAAAATCTCTTTTCGTTACCCAAAAGAAATTGACTAGAATCAAAGTGTGTATGATTATTGGAATGATGATGAATTTCGATTGATGAAAATCAATAATTCGAACCAAAAACAGAAAAAAAATATATTATTATTATTTAGGTTTGTAAGTAAGTAGAGCTTATTTTTTGTATAGTATTTTGATGATTTTCAAGAGAAACTGGATTCTCTATATTTTTTCATCATCTGTTTGACACATATATATAATATAATAATAATAATAAAATAACCACAGGTTGACTGGATTTTTTTTCCACTGACTTTATTTTGATCATCATCATGATGATGAATCCATCATTGAGTTAACAGACAGAAAGATATACCCAATATATATATTGTAGAAATTCCGTAAAGTTTCCCTGGGCTACAATGTTGTTGTGTTGGAAAATTTCCTTATATATTCCAATGTGTGGAAATAATGTGAAAAAATTTTTTGTTTTGTTTTGTGAGTGATTGTGACAATGTGTGGAAATAATGTGATCTATTTCAAACGGGAAAAAATTTTTTTTTTTTGTTTTTATTCATTTTCATTATCATTTTGTTTTGTTTTATTCATTTTCATTATGATCAAATTATAATGGAATGTGAAAGAATTGAATAAAATGAATGAGAGAAAAAAATTTTAAAAGTGTAAATCGTTAATATCAGAATGGTGGATTTATCATGTTTCATTGTGCAAAAAAAAATTTAAAATTTAAAATTTAAAATTTTTTCGTTGTTCCCCACATGAATAAAATTTTCTTTTTTTAAAAAATCAATTTTCAATTGTTGCTCATCAATTGAAATTGTCTTACATTTTGTTCATTCAATAATAATCGTTCTTTAGCAATGTTCATTTCATCCACATTTATAATACGATTAGCATTTTCATCTTTGATTGAACATTTTTCAATTGTATCCACCGTATGGAATCCTTTATGTAATTGATTTGTAGCCAAACGTTTAGCCATTTTATATCCAATTGTAACGGCAAATATGACCATAAATGATGAAAATGCATATAGAAATGGAAATACCCAGGCTTTTTTCAATTGCTTTTCGAGAGTAAGACAGTGAGAATGAATGAGTGAAAAAAAACCGGAAAATTAATCAATCAGTCATTTTGTAATGAAGAAAAAAAAATATACAAAAACAAACCTGTAATGTAAATGATAATGAAATGATTGTCAATGCTGAGCCAACATTTTTGATACCAATTTCTATACCAATTGTACGACAAATTTTATTATTCAAACGAAATACTCTAGCAAATACATATCCGGCCATAAAACTAAATGCAGGTAACAATATGACAGCCGTATAAAGACGATATGGTACACCAAAAAATATGTCCGGAAATATAATCACTTCTAATGATTGACAGAAACAAATAATACCGAAACCGGCAAATACACCAATTTTAGTTATATAAGGTGTATATTTAGGTAGACGCCAATTAAGTATCATTCCCAATATGACCGGTATTGTGACCAATATTAATGTAATGGACATTTCCATATATGGTATAACTAAATTATTTGTTTCAAGATTACGTCCATAAAGCCATACATTTAATGGCATTAATAATAATGCTGCAATCGTTGCAACTGATGTCATTGTAATACTGTATTCCAGAAAAAAAGAATGAAAATTTAATTTTTCAATTTAATTATGATCATTCATTTCATACCTTAATGGAAGATCACCATCAGCTATAAAGGTGAAAATGTTTGATGTAACACCACCTGTAATTAGAAAGAAAACAAACAAACAAATAAAAAAACCAGATTGAATAAATTATTATTATGGAAATGAATTACATCGGGAAAATACACAGAAAGACCACGGTTATGAAATGTTAATTTTGATTTTTTTTTTCATTTAAATAAAAACTGAAATGAATTTCATACACTTGTTGCAATAATATCATCATCATCATCATCATTTTTTTTGTTCATTGAATTGTTACATCATTATAATTATTATGAAATCATCATCATTTGATCAAATCTGAATGATCATAACCGAATTTTTTTCGTTGCAAATCCAACAGAACGGATATGAACATCATGTACATTTTGGCGGGAAAAAGATATGACAGTGAAAACAAAAACATGAACGAAAAAAAAATCAAGGTTCATAAAAGCAAACAAGCGTAACTAAATTTCAAAGTTTCAAAGTTTGTCTAATAATTATAAACAAAATAATACATATGCTTATAATAATTGTATTTTTTCAACTAAAAAAAAAATTCATCCAAAATCCATCAATTTTCATTTCAATCCAATCAATCAATCAATCAATCAATATGATAGTGACCATTGTTCATCATCCATTAACAACAACAACAACAATTGTAATAGTTGTATCACAAGTCAACTCAATCAATGATAATAAATTCATAATGTGACGACATTATGATGTGTGTGTGTGTGTGTGTTTTGTGGTAGATGATAATTATGAATAGAAAAAAAAATTCATCAATTACCATAGTGATAATAAAATTAATGATGATGATGATGATGAATTATAAATATCAATTACCGTATTGATAGTTTTCATTATCATCGTCATTGTCGTATAGTATCGGTTTATTTGAAGGCAAAAAAAAACATTCACTAATACATGGACATTAATCCAAGGTTTTTCTAGGATCAAATACAAACAAAAAAAAAAGTGAAAGAGGTGTGAACCCTGAACCATGAAAAATTATTTTAGTTAGTTATATATCAATATTATTATTCATAAAAACGTCATTGACTTTTGTATTTTTTTTTATCACGTGGATATAAATGATAATTGTATATTGACATCATATATCTCTTTATGGTGTGTGTGTGTGTGTGTGTGTGTGTGTGTGTGTGTGTGTGTTTGTGGCAAAAAAAAAACCTTAAAAATTCTGAAAAAAAGAACAAAAACCTACCTGGACAACAGGCTAATATCAATAGGCCAGTAGAATGTAATACTTCCAATTCCAATAATGTCATTATTAAATAACCAATAAATGGTACAAGAAAAAATTGTGCAGCAATACAAACTAAAACGGCTGTTGGTCTTCGTAAATGATTCCATACCTTTTATGATAATTTTCAATTTCGATTATTTTTTTCATATATTAAACATATAAATACCTCAATAATGGTAACACCACAACCCATTGAAAACATTACTGAAATAAGCAATATAACCAATAGATAATCGTGTATTAATTTTAATATTGGTGTTGCTTTTACAATTGCTTCGGCTGTTGTATTGGTTGATGTATCGATCAATTCACTACCATCAGAAAGAATATTTTCAACAATTGTTTCAGACGAAAGTAACGATCGTGAATGATTATCAAGATGATGATCATGTTTACCAACATTATTGTCATCATCATCATCATCATCAGCAGCAACCGAAATAACAATATTATCATGAATTGATTTCAACGGAGTCGGCGATATAGATAGATTCTGTTTCAAATTATTGTCATTGTTTGTAATTCTATTTGGATTTGGTATCAATGATTCGGCGCGTTCAATTTTTTTCTTTTGTACAGTTTCAGCATCCGTTGTTGAAATCGATAGTAAAATACAAAAAACTAGAATCATAGCCAATTGCGTCGATTCATATCGTCGAATGATAGCACATTGGCTATCGTTGCTTTTCATAGGAATTATCATATTTTTTTATAAAAAATTTTGTGAGTTTAATTTATCAATCAAATAACAATAGATGTGTTCAAGGAAAAATTTAAAGTTCAGGATTCTTTTAAATGATGAACGTATAATGGAAAAATGAATCAATAATTGGAAAAAAAATTAAAGAAACTTATTGTTGTTGAAAAATTTTCGATTCTGAAAAACAGGAGAAAAAAATTGGTCAATTTAAATGTAAAAAAAATTGAATTGAAATTTTTAATTTTAAAATGAAACATTCATTTACAGATGGAATCATCGTTGTTGTTATTATCATCATCATTCAAATTCAAATTCACCATAGACACGAACACACACACACACAAATTGATACAATGTACATAGTGTGAAAAATTCAATCATAATTCGCATATATATATTGTCGTTTGGTATATTAAATGATTGAAAGTAAATTCGTGGAAATAAAAAAAAAATTATCGGCTTTTTATATATTCCATGTTTCTTTTTATTTCGAATTCATTCATTAAAAAAATTACCTGTCATTTAGCTTTCTCTCTCTCTCTTTCGCTCTCGCTCTCTCTCTCCACCTTTCCATATTCACTTTCGTCTAGATTAGGGCGTTATATGTGATGGTATCATTATGAGTTTGGTAATATGTTTTGTTTTTTTGTTTTTGTTGATGAAAAAAAAAATTGAAAATGAAAAGCCAAAACCGGACAAAATATTGTATGTATTTGTATTATATATATGTTTATAATTCAAACCCATTTTGGGTAAAAAAAAATAACTGAAAAGCTTTATATTTTTTTCCATTTATTTATTTTGGTCATGTTTGATGGTGTGTGGCGATATTTTTTTTTTTTTTTTTCACAATTGTATATTGTGTATAGTTAACATCAATACCGATACATCACAATCACAATTAGTTATTGAATATATGTGTGTGTGTGTGTATGTAGTGATTTTGACTACCTGTATTCATGGTTCCATGATTATAACGTATTCATGTATGTATGTGTGTGGTTAACCTGTCAATCACATGTACATTACATTACTATTATTATTATTATCATTATCACCGGTTTTAACATTGACATTTATTATGATGACAATTTTTTTTTCTTTTGGATCTTGATCCATTCATTAAATTCATTGAATAAATGTAAATATGGGTGTGTGTGTGTGTAATATTGTATATACAAAAATAAACAACAATAAAGTATATTACCTGAATGATGAAAAGCATAAAACATGTACACGTGTTGAATATAATTTTTTTTTTGTGTTTAAAACAAGAAACATTTCACACAAGAGAGAAAAAAAAAAATAAAAGAGAGAGAGAGAGAAAAAAAAAAAGAAAATAAATGTTTCTGGAACAACAACAACAACAACAACAAAAATAATGAAATCTTTTTCGATTCATCCACCTTTTTTTTGTTTGATTGAAAGGGGCAAACAATGGCAATTTGTATTTTTAATTACACTGATGATGATGATGGATGAACAAAATTGGCAAAATTTGCTTCGAGAGAAAAAAAAATGAAATATAAAAATTAACAATTAAAATTCGAATAAATTTTTCTTGTTACCCACATATTATATATATATATGATTATTGTCATATGGATCCTTGATTTTGATATCGTTACGCTTCCAAATATATAAATCTGACACCAAAAAAAAAAATAAAATAAATAGGAAACAAAGATGACATTTCCTGCAAGGAAAAAAATATAAAAATAAATGATAAATTGACATGTTCGGAAATGAGACCTAATACATTTCTGGATTGTCATGTAGTATTTTGTTTGTTTGTTTGTTTGAAAAGCGTGGGAATATTCGGAAACAACAACATGTAAAAAAAATAGACATTACGGTTTTCTGTTGTCACGCAATTATTATCATTATTAATAAAAGAATCTTGAAGTAAAAAAAAATACCAGATCCATCCTGTTTGTGAATTCAAAAGGCAACACTAAAAAAAATCCATACAAATCATTTAAATAATCGATCCAGAATTTTTTTTTTTTTTTTTTTATTTTCAATGACCTTGGCATTCATTCTGAATGGATTTTGATTGGTTGTTTTTTTTTGCAGCAAAATAGGAATTTAGCATTGAACAAAATTAATAATAAGAGGGTAAAAAAAAAAATTTGAAACTTTTATAATCTTGGTATAATTATGTTATTGGAAATAATCATCATAATTTATAGTATATATAATTGATTGATGCATAATTTGATTTGAGCATTTCATTGGAAATGAAATGCAATGATGATGATGATAATTTTAAATTTAAAACCAAAACAACAAAGTTATCTTCCACTGAATCATCATCATCGTCATCATCATTATTATCATTGATTGTTTTCTTGAATTGTTAAATTTTCTGGTTATTATTTCTGAAATTATAGCTCAAAATACAAATTAATAGTTTATAATGGGTGAACAAAACACACACACACACACAATCGGTAATGATATGATTGTGAATTTTTTTTTCTCAAAACAAAAAGTAGGAAACAAAACGATAAAAAAATCAGTTAATTGAAAACCATTATTAATGATGATGATGATGATGATGATGATTATCATTTGAATATTATTATGCAATAATAATATTCATTTGCAATTGAATGGGTGAGTTTTTTTTTTTGGTTTGCTTGTCTTTTTTTTCCCATCCTGTTCATTGAACGCCCACAATTTTTAGATCATTAATGTGTGTGTGTGTGTGTGTGTGTCTACCCTTTCTTTCCTTGTTTGTTTTGTTATAAAATGATGGATATACCTATCTGTTTCCGACGTGTATGCATATTTGAACAACAAGAACAAAAAAAAATGAACCTACTCATTAGCATTCTGTAAAAGGAAATTTATTTTTTTTTCATATTCATTATCAATCAATGTGTATGATGAATAATCATCCGCCTATTCATCATTTTTATTGAAAAAATTTGATGATGATGAGAAAAAAATTCCAATATATGGATTATGATTATGATTATTTGTAATTCAACATAGAAACAATAAAATAAAATATTATCATACCTGATCAAGGTCAGCGATTGTCATTTTTTTTTTTCATCAACTTTTGGTTCATAGACAAAACCAAAAAAAAACCTACCTAAACAATGATTATATAAATTGCGGAAAAATTGATTCTACTTTTCAATGAAGAATTATGATTCAATGAAAAAAAATATTCAGACAAAATACAAGAGAATTTTTTTTTCTTATTGGTTTTTTTCAATTTATTCAACAAATATGACGAATTTATGTATGTGTGTGTGTGTGTGTGTGTGTGATTGGCTAACCACACACACACACACACACACAATTATCTTCATCATCAGTTGTCAAAAAAAAGGTATAATTTGCATATTTTAACAAATATCTTATGTTGATATATTGGAACCGAATAATAAAAAAAAACAACTGTACATATGTGTGATATATGTAGAACAGCATGGGTTTTTTTGTCATTCATTTATTATTATCATCATCATCATATAGCTTATTGCATAAAGAATTATCATATTATCAAATTGTTGACCTTGAAATTTTTTTTTTCAATCCATCAAACATAAACATGATGATGATGATGATTATTATTAATGACCATTGTTATGGATCAATTAAAATGAAAATAATTCGCAAGATAATTCATCAAGATAAGATGATTGATAATTAAACAGGTGAATGACAGCCAAAAAAAAAAAGAAGAAAATGTTAATACTTTAATAATATGAAAAGTCCAAGTTTTTTTTTATTTTGCAAAAATTCCAGAATTTTTTTTTTGCTCGAATACATTAAAAAAAATCATTTGATACATCAATACAATCGTTTTATTTTATCAATCATTTTTTTTGTAATTTGAAAATTGGATTTTTTTTTTCATTTTTTTTCATCAGAAATAAAATGTATTCAATGCAAGTGTTTGTGTGTGTGTGCATGTGTCTATCTCTGTTTGATATTTAATAAAATTGGAAAAAAACCAATTTGGACAAAAAAAAACAACAAAATTTTGTCGCTTTACTGGATGATGGATTCTTAACATTGTTGTTGACAACTCATATATTGCTTATCACATACGATTAAAAAAAAATATCATGAAACCTTGGGTTTGTATTTTGTTTCATTCAACAACAACAACAACAACAAAAATTCACTTTCAATTTCCCTCAAATACTATCTAAATCAATATTGATCATTTTTGATTCAATCATCCATGATTCAGATAGTTTATATTTATCAAGATTTGTCCAGTCATTAAAAAAAAAGAAAAAATAAACAACGAACAACAACAACAAAAACAAATCAATGGAAAGGCAAATTTATATGTCCAATAATAATAAAAAAAAAATAAACAAATTGAAAATTGAAATTTAAAACAAACAATGAAAAAAATCCAGGAAGTTATCAAGTTTTTTCTTTACACATCATCACATACCAAAAATAAAAATGGCGGCCATTATTTATACCATGGTTATGATCTCGAAAAAAAACATGACCAAAAATAAACTTTTCAGGTTCATTGACTTGTACTTGAAACAAAAAAAAAATCATTTTTATTTTTCAAGAAATTTCATAGAAAACAGACGTGAGTGAATATTTTCGATTTTTTTGTTTGTTTGTTTCACCTATTATTTAGAAATGCCAACACATTGAACATGGCTATATGATTCAGCTGATTGATTGAATGTCATTACTTTCATTAACAACAGTTTTGAGACAAAAAGTACCTGCATCAACATTTCTATTTTTCAAAACTTTTTTTTCATCTATTTAAATCGTTCCATTTTTTTTCTCTTGAAACCAATCATAGAAAATCAATGGACCGAATGTGTGTGTGTGTGTGTGTGTGTGTGTGTTGGCAGAAATTTTGTTTTATGACACATTTAGAGGTACCATTGATGAAACATATAATTTTGATTTTTCTATTCCAAATCAAAAAGTTGAATACTGAATGAATGTTGATTTTACTTTTTTTTTTTTTGTTTAATTTTTCATAAACTGAAAACATGATAAATCAAAATTTAAAATATTCTTGTAATTACAGAATATTATTGACATAAAACAACAGTAATAATGATGGCAGCAGGTACCGAATGAAAAACCATTGAAATTAAAAAACAAAATTCAAAAAAAAAAAAATGATTCAATATAGTATGTTTATGATTTTGTATATATCAATGATATTTTGGCTTAAGATAATTTGTAAGTGTATGCACAAAACCATAATAATCTGAATTTGCAATGGCATCTTCATTTGAATAAGAATTCGTTTTTTTTTCTTTTTGTTTGTATAACAATTAATTAGTTATATAATAAAAACAACTTTCTGTTGATGATAATGATAATAATGAGATTCTTAAAGAAATTGATCGATTAATGAATGAATGATTGATGATTAATATTCAATTTTTTGTTGAGTATTGTCAAATTGCTGTTGTTTTTGTTGTTGAATCATTCGAAATGATCCACCTTGTGAAGCTGTATATCCACTTGGACCTTGTGGACGACTACTTGGTGCATGCAAACCACTTGTTGATGGACTATATCTTGGACCTTGCGGTCGACTACTTGGTGCATGCAAACCACTTGTTGAAGGACTATATCTTGGACCTTGCGGTCGACTACTTGGTGCATGCAAACCACTTGTTGAAGGACTATATCTTGGAGCTTGCATTTTTCCTACTGATATCGGCGATGGTCTTAAGGGTGTTTTAACTGGTTGAGACATCATTACAAAATCTATTCCGCCAATCGCAGGTGGTATTAAATGACGACCAGCTTGACCACGTCCTCTACCACGTGCACCACCACGCATAGCTGACATAGATGACCAACTTTCTTTTCCTCTCATTGGTGGTTGTGGCTGAACTTGCAAATTGCCACTTTCAACTTCAATACCGTTATCGCTTTTCATTTGTGATGTGCCTGGGCCGAATCCGGAAGGACCTGTTGGTCCGGTTGGCCCTTCAGCTTGGAAAGACGGTCCGGTTGGCCCTTGAGCTTGGAAAGACGGTCCGGTTGGTCCAGATGCACTGAATGACGGTCCGGTTGGTCCTGAAGCACTGAATGATGGTCCAGTTGGCCCTTCAGCTTGGAATGACGGTCCGGTTGGTCCAGATGCACTGAATGACGGTCCGGTTGGTCCTGAAGCACTGAATGATGGTCCGGTTGGCCCTTCAGCTTGAAATGACGGTCCGGTTGGTCCAGATGCACTGAATGATGGTCCGGTTGGACCAGATGCACTGAATGACGGTCCGGTTGGTCCTGAAGCACTGAATGATGGTCCGGTTGGCCCTTCAGCTTGGAATGATGGTCCGGTTGGCCCTTGAGCTTGGAAAGACGGTCCGGTTGGTCCAGATGAACTGAATGATGGTCCGGTTGGCCCTTCAGCTTGGAATGATGGTCCGGTTGGCCCTTCTGCTTGGTATGACGATCCAGTTGGCCCTTCAGCTTGGTATGACGGTCTGGTTGGTCCAGATGCACTGAATGATGGTCCGGTTGGTCCAGATGAACTGAATGATGGTCCGGTTGGTCCAGATGAACTGAATGATGGTCCAGTTGGCCCTTCAGCTTGGAAAGACGGTCCGGTTGGCCCTGAAGCACTGAATGATGGTCCGGTTGGCCCTTGAGCTTGGAATGATGGTCCGGTTGGTCCTGAAGCGCTGAATGATGGTCCGGTTGGCCCTTGAGCTTGGATAGAAGGTCCGGTTGGTCCAGGTGAACTGAATGATGGTCCAGTTGGTCCACGTAAAGATGCAGCTTGTCCGCCTTGTGACGGCTCAGCACCAGCTTTTCCTATTTTTTGGAAAAATTAATGAGAAAAAAACTGTAGATGAAACACTAGACATACCTAATTCTTCATTGACTGAATAGAATTTTCTAGAAGCACCACAGTCAACTGCATGCCAATAATCACAAGCGAGAATAGCTTGATTAAAAACGGTTCCAACACCACAAAGAAAACTTTCTTTACGGCCTTGAAAGCAAACATGATAGACTTGACACCGTGTTTCTTCATCAGCGTACATTCCCGGTTCATAAGGAACACCGTTACAAGTGAATGCAGTATTTGGAATTCGTGCGTAGTTGGGAAAATCTACTCCAGGTGTTCCTTGAACACCTCCATATGATGGTGGTTCAGAATCAACAGAATTATCATTACCACCAGCGTTTCCCTGCCAATATTGACCAGATTGACCACCAGTAAATTTACTAGGATTTTGTTGTCCAGAATATCTGCCGCCACCACCGATTGGTCTAACAGATTGTCCTTGAAATTGGCTACCATCATTTGATCCATAATTCTGAGATTGTCCACCAGCATTACTACTAGCAGAAGCAGATGAACTTGCTGCAGCAACATTAGTACTTGATGGCATAGGTCGTACATATTGTCGAGCACCACCAGCTAGACCAGATTGTGATGCCTCACCACCTCTATTGTATTTGGGACCTTTAACTCCTTGTCGTCGAAACTATTATCATTGTAAAATTTCCAAAAAAAAAAAAAAAAAATTAATAAATTAATCAAAAATGAAAAATTTTACTTCAACTTACTCGACCATTAAAATTATTCGACCATTTATATCCATCAAAATTTCCATGAACAACAGTGATGATTGTTGCCGTTAATACGACAAACAATAAAATTGATGATATTGATAAAAATTTCATTTTAAATTAAAATTAATCGTTGATGTTTAAAAAATCCACAAGTACACAAAATAAACAGGGGAAAAAAATAATATTATTATTATTCGACAGGAATTATGTTATGTTTGACAAGAATAATTTTTTTCACATTCAAATAGAATGACTAAATTGAATGAAAACAAGAATTACAATGACGATAAATGTGAGAAAAAAAAATCACAAATAAAACAAGTAAATATTAATCCAAAAAAAAAAAAATTCTATTCAATAAGAATGTTGACTATCCGAATACAAAAACAATGAACAAATCGAATGTATCTGATGGCCATTTTTATAATGCGGTGTGATGAAAAAATTTTCTACATTTTTTTTCTTCTTTTTCTTCTTCTTTTACTACAACAACAATTGATGGAATGGATCATTATTATCTTCATCATCATCATCATCATGATCATCAAAAAAAAATGATGTATGCGTGGCAAAGGATTGTGTATGTGATGTATTAATGTGGGTGTGTATGTGTGTGTGTGTGTGTTTGTATGATTCTATGAACGTTTTTCGCCTTATGTGTTATGTTGTGAATGTTGTACAAATAATAATAATAATAAAAAAAATGTTTGTAAATTTTTTTTTTCTTATTATTCATTCCTGAATTTTATATATGGCTAAAATAAAATATTAAAAAAAAGAAAAGAAAAGTAGAAGCAGAAGTAAACAGGAAAAAAACATGTGTCATGTTTTCCTGTAAAATACCATTTATCGTGTTTGAATTGATTCATCTACATACAAACATTTTTTTTTGTTATTGCTGGATTTTTTTTCCATTGGATTTTCTGGATTATCCCCAAAAACATTTTCATAATAAATCATGAATTATTATTATGACAACAACAACAACAACAACAAAAACAAAAACAAAAGAAATATATATATTATATCGGTGTTAAATGACTGATAATTAGATAATCAATAACGATGCAAAAAAAAAATTCATATGAAAAAAATTATTATAAAAAAAAACCTGAAATTATTGTCTCTGGATGAATGAATGAATGAAAAAAAAGGAAAAAGAAAACAAAAAACAACCAAATGAACATCTTTTGTTTCAACAACAACAACAAAATAATGTCCTTGAATTTTTCCAATTTTGAACATTATTTTTCTTGTATCTTCTTTTGGATTGGATTTGATGATTTCCGACAGAATGATCAATGATGATGATGATTATCATCATTTTAAATGATTTGTATGCATAATAGGTGTGTGTGTAGATGTTTATGTGTTGGATTGGATGAGAAGCTTGTTAAGTTAATTTTTTTTTTTAAACAATTGCCGACAATTTTCATGTTAATGTTTCATCTTCAAAATTTTCGATTGTTACCAGAATTGATCCATGATTTTTTTTGTTTGTTTGTTTGATTCGTATCTTTATTATTGACAAACCTCTCTCATAGTTGAAATAGGCATAAAATAATTTGACAACAAAAAAAATTTGATTGTTTGATTTGTGTTTTTCCTGTTCGTTCGTTTTGTTGATTTATTTGTCGTTAGAAAGTTAAGTAGTTTGAAAAAAATTTTGATTTTTTATAAATTTTATTTTTTACCTTGAATAATCGTCATCATAAATTGTTATATTATAAATATTGCCATTAGCCAGACCCATTTTTTTTATTTGTTCGTCTGCAACCGGATTTCGTATCATCATCATCATCATCATCGCTATCATTATCATCTACAAATAAAATTACATTGCAAAAAAAATGACGCTTAAATGGTTGATAATCATTGACCATGAACAAAAAAAAATGAATCCATCTTAATCGCCTACGATCATTTTTTTTCTTTATACACTCATAAATGTATTTCATCATTCAAACAAGATAGACACATATAGACAGACAGACAGGTAAATAATTTACTTACAAGATAGAAATGAAAAACAAATCATATAGCACATAGGTTAAAAATGTTTCAAAATTTTTAATCATCACAAAAACGTCTTATTTTTTTTACAAATCAGAGATTGTCAACATAAATCAGTGTTTGTATCTGACTATATGAACAGCTCCATATAAAAAAAAATAACCCACAGCTGTTGAACGATATTCAATCTGAATATGGTAAAAAAAAATTTTTTTTGTTCGTTTCGTCTCTCTATTTTTCATATTTAGAAATTAGATGGATGGATAAATCTTAACGATAAACAAACAAACAAACATAAAAACACACAATATTGCAATTTCCGATGGACACATATGAATTAATTAACTTTAACCATCCACCAATATTCAACGTACAGGTGTTAATGGATTTTTTTTTTTTTTAATTCTCCAGCTTCTGAATGAATACAGTGAAAGAACAGTGGAGAAAAAAAAACCCAGAACATTGATGGAAATATATACGCCTACAAGAAAATTTACAAAAAAAAAAAATCATCATCAATATTTCGTGAAGAATTTCGATAAAAAATTCCATTCGATACATAAAAAAGAAAGTGGCTGTTGTCCATTCTATCCATTTTCTATTATATGATGGGTATTTCACAAAAAAAAAATATTCATATATATCTATTATGTACAAGTTTTTTTTTCGCCATTCACTATTTGATGTTTCATTTCACCATTATATTAACACACACACACACACACATACACTAAAAATGGGTTTTTCTTTCGATTCAATTTTCATGGAAATTTGGCAATGAATGAATGAAAAAAAATGTCTATTAATCAACTAGAAAAAAATATCATTCAATCAACTAGGAATCCAGTGTTTTTCCAACAACAACAACAACAACAACAATTCAAAATACTATTATTTGGAAAAAAAAATTTTTCTAAAAAAAATGATGATTGCCGTTCATCATCATCATCATCATCAATTATACATACATACACAATAGACAAAATGATGATGATTATTCATGTAACGAAACAAAAGAAAAAAAAACTTTATATATAAAATACTAATACTATATTACCACCCTTGACCGTGATTATGTGATTATATGATGATGATGATAATTCATAATGGAAAAATTTGTTTTTTTTCCAATGAAATGATGATGATGTCTTATGCATGATTTTTTTTTTTTTTTTTTTTGGTTTTTTTTAATATTAATAATAATAATAATAATATTTTTTTTCTCATCAAAAATTACTAAATAATATTTTGATGGACAAATGAATGATGAACAACGCACACACACACACATAGAGATTATATGAATAAATTTAATTTTCATGTCAATCATGCCCTTGTGTGTGTGTGTGTTTTTTAACCACTTGTTGGAACATTATCATTGATTGCCAAAAAAAATATCAATAACAACAACAACAACAACAACAACAACTACTGGAATATATGACTTTAAATCACAATAATATAGGAGAAAAACAAAACAAAAAAAAAATTTTCATTCGATTATCATCATGTCATTAATGATGATTGTAATGGCAAGTATTTTTTTTTTGTTTTTATCATCATTTCATCACGAATTAACATTGAGATTTGGATTATTAAAACCATGTGAATCTACTATGATTATTGTGAACAAAATATTATTTATTGATCATTTTTTGGAACATCTGTATTTGTAATTTTTTTTTATTGACTTGTATTTCGGAATAATCTGTGTGTGTGTGTGTGCGTGTATGACTATTGGATCATCGTAGAAAAAAAAATTCAATTCATTCCATCATGATTGATTTTTAATCACAACTATTGATCTCAACTGAACAATTGCTCAACACTGTGATGATCAAGAGATTCATAATCCAAACACATCGATTTTATTTTGATTTGAGATATAAACTTTTTAATTTTCAACAACTATGAATCAATTCATATTCATAATCAACAATAAAAAAAATCAAATCAATATTCTGTCATTTGTGTTATATGAATTTATATACGAGAAAAAAACATTATAATTTGATTCATGTGTAGAATTAATGGATAGAAGAAAAACGAACTGTTTTTTTTTTTTTTTTTTTGGTTCATCGGCATGGATTTTCTTTGGGTTTTTTTCATATTTCTCTTTGTTTCTGGAAAATTGTGTTCGTGTTTAGAAGAAAAAAATAGACTTTTCATAAAAATAATCGCTACAATATTATAATTATAAAAACATGCAAATGATTGAATGATATTTTTATGCGTTGATTATGTATTATTTTTATTTTCTTTTTTTTTTGTTTTGTTTCGTTTTTCTTTATTTTCCAATATCAATCAAATCGTCCCAATGTTGCTGGTAATGGTGGCAATACACCAATACGTCCATTTAAATAATAATAGCTTGGTGATGCTGGACAATTGACCAAATACCACCAATCACAGGTCATCACTTTTTGATGGAATAATGTTCCATTTGGACAAAGAAAACTATCCATACGGCCATCACGTTGACATATATGAAAAACTTGACAACCAGCCGCTACATCTGCATAATAACCAATTTTATATGCTTGAAGTTCGCATCGGAATCCTGTATATGGCACCGTATTGTATCCAGGATAATCGAATCGTATATAGCCAGGAAATCCCGGAAATGTAGAGTTTCGGACTCCAGGATAAAGTGTCAACGCTGATAAGAGACGCCCTGGAAATCGTGATGGATATGCACTAGCTGGTGTTCCAAGTGTCGGTAAAGGAGGATATGTTCCCGTACGATTTCCGATAGGTGTTACAAACGGTGGTGATATAACTGGCCTGACACCTAATCCTGAAGGACCAGTACCACCTCCATATTGATTACTGGGACCAGAACCACCCCCACTAGGGCCGAACGGACCACTTGGTCCACCACCAGAAGCATATGGTGCTCCGGAACCAGCACCGCTACCACCGCTAGGACCAGCTCCACTTCCACTATATGGGTCGTTACCTCCTCCAGATCCCCCATAACCAGTTTGGCCAACGCCAGGTCGACTTCCAGTTCCATCGCCATCTGAATCCCTACCAGCTTCTCCTGATCCACTGGTTCTACTTCCGTCTCCTGATGAACCATAACTAGGACTAGCACTGCCAGTTCCGCCGCCTGCACCAGGTCTTTGTCCTGGTATTCCTTGTCCTGAATGACCGGGAAACAAATGTGGATAAAGACGACGAATTTTGTTCAGATAATCATCGGCTGGGTTACCAGAACCCCCGCCTGCTATTCCAGCACTACTTCCGCTTGATCCTTGACCTGGTTCTGCACCAGGCGTTGATCCGATCCACGATGGGCGAAATGGTCGAATACGTTCACCGAATTGTTTACTTGAAATTAATTTTATTAATAAAAATCATATCAGATCGTTAATTTACCTTGGATCATATGGAAGAATTTTATTCAGATCTTCTTTAATTTGTTCATCGAATCGTACACCTAAATTTCCTCCATCAATTCCACCATGTTTTTGGTCAATATCTTTAATCTGTTCGATAATTTGATCTGGATGTATGATAGCACCACCAGGTATACCACCAATATTCCCGGTGCTTCCACCACCACCACCTATTGTTGTTGGAATGAGAGGAGCACCGACACCACCACCAATACTACCGGAATGACCACCACTTCCTTGTTTTTGTTGTTGTTGTTGTTGACGTTCAGAATCAATTTTGGCTTTCATTTTATTGAGATAATCTAAAATACTAAAATCTTTATCACCACTTTGCAATGCTGCTTTTAATGCTGCTTTTGTTGCAAATAATTGTTGTTGATAATCTGACATGGTTTTCATATCGGAATCATGACCCGTTGAAATAATTGGTGGTGATGTAGTGGATGGCTGTATCGTATCCGATATTATATCACCGTGTGTTAATCGTAACAATTCTCGTGGAACATCACGACCTTGATGAAATTCACGAATAAAAAATGCTTTTGGTTTGGCAGCTGTAGGATCAGTACGAAGACGATTCTCATAACGAAGACGACTTAATTCATATCCACGTTGATAATGATAATTTTGACCACGAAATATTTCACGTTTCAACTATATGGAAAAATTTTCGAATTTGTTCCAAAAAAAAAAAACATCAATCTAATCATAATTACATCATTCTTACCCTTGATGTAGAATTGTTCCATCTATCATCAACATCATTATCATTAGAATTGTCTTCGATTTCATTCTCATTTTCATATCCATCTTCATCTTCTTCGATCAATCCATCATCATTTGTTCGATGACCAATAAGATTTAATTCATCTTCGTAACTTAATTCTGGTTCATATTTCGATAGCACATCATTCATATTCAAATTGGAATTAGTTTCATTATTATTATTAACTTTATTAATAGCAACAGTATCATTGATAACAATGTCTGATGAATTAATCTGTAATGGTGATGGTTCTACAACGAATGGATATTCTATTTCAAATACTTGTGCCGCTTGTGGTTGCCAGATTTCATTGAATTCTAATTTTATTTAAAAATTGAATTTTTAAAAAATTAATTAAAAATTAAATTAGACGAAAATGGTTCATTGGTCATTCAATATCATTTATAATCATCAGAATGTTTAATATTCTGATTCTAAAGGAATTGATTATTACTGAAAAAAAAATATTGTCCGACCAATGACCACATGATTAGCAAAAATGAAAAAAAAGCAATTTAAAAAAACAAAATACCATTAGCATTAACATTATAAAGAACATTCAATGCTGACAAAATAATAATCAATGAATGAACAAGTGAAAAAATTGAAATTAATTTCGATTTCAATATCGATTTTGATTGAAATTTAGATTTAGATCTCGAAAAACATGATGATAATGTTGACGATGATAATAACAATTGTTGATCCGTTGTACAAAACATTATCGGTGATTGACAATTTCGAATTCGATGATGATTGATTTTAGTCGATTTTTGTCGATCACTCTGGCGACATTGATGATGATGATGGTGATTATCATCTGTAAATAACCAAAATCTATGATGAGATTTTGGAGCAACCATATCTATATAATATTCAGCTATTTTAATCTTATTTGTTTATTCAATGATAGTGGATATAGAAAAAAAAACCGAAATTATTCAATCAATTATCAATGAATTCAACAGACAAGAAAAAAAATTGTTTTTCACAAACAAGAATCTTTTTAGTTTTTACTCTAAGATTCTATGAAACAGAACAATTTTGACATTTATACAAACAAAAAATGTACAAGTTTAAAATATTTGATGATGATGATGATGATTGAAACCAAACTTGTTGCCAGTCATAGATGAAATGAAATTTAAATCATTTGTTCCAGGAACGTTTATACACAACCATATTATGTGACAAATAAGAAAATTCAAATGGGAGTGATAGAATTGAATGAAGAGAGAGAGAGAAGAATAAACAAAACAAAAAAGCCCCCGGTTAAAATGATGATTCTTCTTCTTCTTCTTTGTATTTTTCCAAATTCTCTTTTCTATTAATGAAATAACAATGAGGGGACAATATAAAACAACAGTTACAAATAAAAAAGAAAACAAAAAATGTCATTTGCTGAATATGTCTCGTTTTTTTTTATTTTATTTTTTCAACATAACAAGATACAATGCATTACACACACACACACAGCAAATATAATGAAAAAAAAATGAAAATTCATTCACAGAACAAATGGAAAAAGTAAATATAAAAAAAAAATCTGATTATGATTATGATGATGATGATGATGATGATGACAAACAATCAAAATACATACGTATACATTAGAAAAGAGATGACATTCATCCATTTTTAGAATATTTACATATTGCAGCAATTTTTTTATTTCTACCTTTATCATATCATATATATATTATTATTATTATTATAAGATCCATGCACGTGCATGTGCGCGTGTAATTTTTTTTTTACTTTTATGTTTTTTAATTCAATTCTGTACAATTAATTTAGTCTGGTCTTTTTTTTTGCTTTTGATAATGTGAATTGTGCTAAATTTACACACACACACACACACTTACACGCACACGAATATTTAAAAAAAGAGCAATAATATGTGGAGTTTCTTGAGATGATGATGATGACAAACAATCAAAATACATACGTATACATTAGAAAAGAGATGACATTCATCGTTTCGGACTAATTGTGAATTGTGCTAAATTTACACACACACACACACACTTACACGCACACGAATATTTAAAAAAAGAGCAATAATATGTGGACAATTCGTTTCGGACTAATTATGTCTTTGAATATCATCATCATCATCATCATTTACCATCATTGATGGATGATAATGATGAGAATAATAATAATAATGACGATGATGATGACCATCAATAAATAAGTAAGAATAGAAACTTAGCGTGAGTTGAAGCCATTTTCAGCACATAACAACAAATAACAAACTTCTTTTTTTTTCTTTCTATGAACATTTTCAATTCTGTTGAAATTCATTTTTTTTCATTTCATTTCTGTTTTATAAATTTTAAACTTGAATAGGATTTCTTGTTGTTGTTGTAATAAGTAAATGTGTAATGAGTGTTTAGAGTAGAAAAAAAGGTGGCTTAATTAATTAATTTGATGTTGTTGTTGTTGTTGTTGTTATTGCTGCATTGTCATTCATTCATAAATGAAACGTGGAAATTTTTTTTTTTTTAACAAAAGGTAAAAAAAGTATTCCATTATTATTATTATTATCAATGACCGTCATCATCATAATAACAATGATAATGATAATGAATGAGATTGAATGGTAGAATGAAAAATAATTTTGAAACACTTGTTCGATGATGATGATGATAATAATGATAATGATAATGACAAACGACAACGATGATTATGATGATGATGACGGCTATATTTTTATGAAGCTATAGAATATCATGTCATTTCTTTTGTTTTTTTTTCACATTTCATTTCAATGATTTATTATCATAATTCTTCTTCATATTATTATTATTATTGTTCAAATTCTCATCGGACAAATTGCATCTACGTGCAAGTGTGTGTTTTTTTTGCCGCTGTCGTTGTTTTGTAATGGATCATTTTCCCTTCCATTCCCTTGTGCGAATATTATCATTCATTTTGTCACCCAAAAGCAAAGAAATACTCTGGAAAAAAATCACATTTAATATGAGTGTGAATAGATGAAAATAGAAAATGAAAAATTTTCATTATAAACGATGTGATTATTAATTATCCAATGATAATCATTTGTAATGACGATGATTTGATCACTATTAATAGAATTAGAAATTGAAAAAAAACAAAATATCAAAATTTTCCAGTATAAACAACACTAATAATAATAATAATAAAACATTACAATATAACCTTGTTGTAGAAAACACAGACTTACAACTGAAACGTTGTTTCTTTGTGGAAAAATTTGACACGTACCATATCGGATTCTTAAAAATTATTGTTCATCATCATCACCATATCGATCATAACCAACGGTGCCAATTTTGATCGATAGTATTTGAGACCAGATGACCATGGTTTTTGGTGTTTTTTTTCCCTTTATTTTCATAAATGAACCATAAATACACGTGTGTTGTTTGACTTGTCTGTATACAATAACAATAGCAAAAGTTTATATTTATTTTCGTTAGAGAATTGTTTGACATTTCGTAACCCTTTTTTTTAAAAAATTTCCAGACGACAGTCTGATGATGACGACGATGATGATGATGATAAATCATCATCATCATAACATATATTTTGGTTCGTTTTTACTTGATGACAAATTTTATTTGTTTTTCTCATGTACTTTGACTATAGTTTATTTAAAAACTTATCTATTTCTCATTCCATTCCAATTTCATTCATTCATTCATCATTGGTGAAACATTTTATTTTCTTTGTTTCAACAACAACAACAATCCAATTCAAGATGTCTCGTTACCTTTATTCATTATATGTATATATCTTTCGAAATAAAATGTGGTCATAATAAATAGTCAGTGTGTGTGTGTGTTTGTGTTCCAAGACAAGCATGTTTTTTTTTTGCTTCTGTTGATGATATTTTCAGTAGCCATGATTTTTTCTTTCTGTTGTTATCGTTGCCGTTGTTGTTGTTGTTTCAAATTAAAGATTCAACATTTTACTACCGTAAAATTTGAATAAAAAGAAATTATTTGCATGTAAAACAAATGTCTTTGTGTAATAATGCATGTGTTTGTATTTGAATATTCAAAAAAAATAAAAACAAATTTCAATTAGATTCATACGCATATTTTAATTTAAAATTGGAATCTTGGAACAAACAAACACACACACACACACATTGAACATATGGACATATAAATGGAACAAAATGAATGAATTAAGAAAAAAAAATTCCAAAACCTTGAATGAACGTGTGTGTGTGTGTGTGTGTATGCGCGCTACCTTGTTTTTTTTGGTTTGTGTTCCAAGATTTGGAAAAAGAATGGAATGAAATTCAATATAAAAAAAATAGAATTATGAAATTTTCGTTCAGTTTAATGTTGTTTTTTTCCATATATTTGGCTGCATTAGGACAGAAAAAAAACAATGAAAAAAACAAGCTTCAAGAAGGTTTTTTTTTTTTTGGTCAATCACATTACATTGACACAATGATAAATCAGTCATCACTATATTATTCTACTAATGACAACATTAATAAAAATTACAAGTATCATCATTATCATCATCGTTAACAACAACAACAACAACAAAATGGATTGTCATCAATTGTGATGATTTTCATTGATTCATCATTCATATTTCACATTGTTTTCATTCACGGAACAATATTATTACTGTATTGTTTATGATTTATAAAAAAAAATTTTTTATTCAAATTTTTTTTCCAGTTTCATTTTCATTCACATTAAAACATTGATCATAATCATTTGAAACAATAAATAAAGACTTTCATATGAGCAAAGAATTCGTGATTGATGAATGAAAAAAAAAATTATTTTTTTCTTTTCATTCATCAATTTGACTAGATATAACAACAACAACAACAACAATTGATCGATGAAAATTAATATCTCAGTTATCATTCAAATCATTTTTGGATTAAAAGTGTTAATGAAAAAAAAATAATGATGATGATGATAAAAAACATTTTCAAATTAAAAGTTTCTTTTTTGTTAATTTTGATCGTCGATAATGATGATTTAGTTGCTGTTGTTGTTGTTGTTGTTGTTGTTGTGGCTGTTGCTGCTGCGGTAAATAATGCTTTCCATTAGTATCCATATCATAATGATGATGATGATGATCCATTTCTATTCGACCTTTATGTATATGACCAGAAAGATCCATAAAATATTTTTCACCTCTACCCAATGGATCTATGGGTAATGTATCCAATTTTGGCCTCGTTAATTCATATCCATTTGAATTTAATGATGATGATGATTGTGGTTGTGGTGATATGTTGTTGATATGTTGTTGTTGTTGTTGTTGTTGTTGCTGATTTCGATATCGACGACGTTGTTGTTTTTCATATTTATTTGATCGATTTCTAGATCGATATTGTGATTGTTTGAGTGGAAAATATAATTCTTTTTCCGGTTCAAATGTTTCATGATAGATGATGATGATGATGATGATTATGATTATGATTATAACCATAAGGATTTTCATAAACATCATCATAAGAATCTGATGAATCAGAATCACGATATTTATTTGAATTGTTTGATTGTTGTGATTTTTTTGCCGGACTTATTGTACGTCGTGATTGTAATGTTGCAGTAGGATTTTTCTTCTTCAATGATTTTTGTTTATTTCTTGGTTCAATACTAGAAGCAGCCTGTGTTGTAGGTGTACATACTCTTGACAATAAAGTGTGCAAAATTTTTTGCTCATTCGGATCACGAATTCTATAACGATTGATTAATTCACTTGAATGAATTTGTGGTGCAGAGAAATCTGATTTACAACGTTTTAGTTCATTAAAATGATTTCGATGATGATTACGTTGAAAATGATGATGATGATGATGATTATAATGATTACCATAAAGATCATTAATTTCATTCATATGGTCATCATCATCATTTAGATTATTATTATGATTATGAATATGATGACGATGTTTACCATCCATCATATTCATACATTTATTCAATTGATCACAGGAATATGTTTCCGATCTAGTTGGATGATGATTTTTTTCATAATACTGTTGCTGTTGTAATTGATTACGATTTGATGATTTTGTATAAAGTTCATTATTTGAACGACTACGTAATGATGATTCAGAATAATCTGATATATTACGATATAATAATTTTAATGGCGGTGGTGATGCAATCAATTCTTGTATATCAAAATAAGATTTTCTTAATGCAATATTCATTGGTGTTTCACCTTGCTGTTGTTGTATATTATTCAATCAAACATGGTCAATAATAATAATAAAAAAAAAATTGCTGAAAATCACAAACTTACCCGATTAACAATAGTAGGATTGCAGCCATTTTCCAACAGAATTTTAGCCAATTTTTTACGATTCATAGCCGCTGCAATATGTAAGGCTGTATCATCATTCTATTTTGGTTTTTTTTGCCGTTTACAATTTAAACGAAAAAGTGAAACAAAAAAAAACACATTTATTTTCACGATTGAATGAAATCCAGAAATGACATACATACACACACACACAAACACTAACCTTGTTCAATTCGTTGACGTTAGCAAATGCACTGATTAAAATTCTAACAACACCAACATGTCCATAACGAGATGCACTATATATATATGTGTGTGTGTGTGAGTAGAATTTTTAAAATTTTTTTCGAAAAAAAAATAATCAAAATGATAATGTAATGAATTATGATGATCATATGATCAGAAATAATATATATATGAAACACACAAACCTATGCAATGGTGTGTCACCAAACTATAATATATAAATTCGAGTGAACAAAAAAAAAAAAATTCGACATCATCATGTTCGTCCGATATGAGCCAAACAAAAAAAAAAAAAAATTAAAAAAAACAAAATCCAATTTAATTTAAAAGAGTGTGTGTGTGTGTGTGTGTGTGCGTAATACTTGCATTATTTTTGACATTTGGTTTACATCCGGCCAATAATAGTACACGAGTTGATTGATTATGACCTTTTTGTGCAGCCAAATGTAATGCCGTATGTCCTTGCTATCGAAAAGTAAAAAAAAAAAAAAAATTTTCAATGGTGAAGAATAAAAAAAAAAACAAAGAAAAAATCATAACGATCATCATCATCAACATCGTTATCGTTTGTAATTGGATATAATAATTACGCTGACTAGAACGCAGGAAATTTAAAATATTAACAAAATGATGATTGATGTGTTAGTGTGTATGTGTGTGTGTGAAAGAAATTCAGCAAACCTTATTTTTTAAATGTAAATTGAGTACCAGTTGATCCATTTCTTCATCATTATTATGATTTCGATTATCATTGGCCATTATCATCATCAATTCATTTTGTTTTTTCTGATAATTATTACAAAGTATTTCCAATGTTTCACTAAAACCTTTCCATGCTGCTTCATGTAATGCGGTATTATTCTTTTGTAACAAAACAAAACAAAACAAACAAAAAATTATTATTACAAAAGAATATTTCGAAAAAAAATTAGGATAAACTTACGAAAAAATTCTGCACATTAATCGATGCACCAATATCGAGTAAAAATTGTACCATTTCACGATGACCATTCAATGCGGCCAATAAAAGTGATGTATTCGATTCCTATTTAATGTTTTATAATAATAATAATAATGAAAAAATTGAATTGAATTTTCAATCATTAAATTCAAATTACCGAATCACGACAATCAATCAATTGTGTGATTCGTTGTTTGTTGTTTTCATCATAATTTTCATCCATTTGATTATCCGATTTTAATAATAATTTTTTCATCAAATCTAGATCGTTGTTTATTGCTGCATTATGAATCATGATTGTTGTTGGAGATGTCATTGTTGATTGTTCCTGGAAATGATGAAAAGAAATTATATTATATAATGTATAAGGCTACCGATTTTACCGATCAACATTTTTACCATATTCAAACAATTGTTAGATTCATTTTGTATATGTTGATGTTGAAATTTTTTTGATAATTCATCAATAACCTGATTGAATGATTCACTTTGTTGTTGTTGTTGTTGTTGTTGAATATCATTGGTGTTTGAAAGTGTTGTTTTAGGATTCGGCATTACCATCATCATCATCGTTGTCGTTGTCGTTGTTGTTGTTGTTGTTGTTGCCGGTCGTACATTTGTATTATTTGTATTCAATTGATTATTATCATTATTATTCAATAATAACGGTGATTCGACTATAGTATGATGATGATGTAAATGTTGTTGTTGTTGATGATGATGATAATATTGATCAATTATTCCATATTGATCATGATGATAATTTGAATGATCATTATCATTATCATGATAATCATCATAGATGATCATTTCTGAAGAATTACCTGTTGCTGTTGTTCGATTAGATGTTATTTCCATTCTTCTTCAGTATACATACAAACACACACACACATTGGCAAATGAATAAAATGTATGTATGGATGAATTTATCACAATCAAATTTTTGGATTTAAAAATTTTTTGTTTTGTTTGAATTTTAAATCATCAAAAAATGTTATTATAATCATCGAAGTAAAATAAAATAAATTCACATCATCATCATCATCATCATAAGCAAGTAAAACATCAGAAACATAATAAAAACAACAACATGAGCAATAACAATTGGACAAAAGAAACACACACACACACACACACACATACAAAGAAAGATAAAAAAGCAGTCAAATGAAGAAAAAAAAAACAAATTTTTTTTTTCTTTTGAGCAGGTGAGGTCCTCACACACGAACAAACAAAAAAAAATTGATGCATTGATCTATTCGCATGAACACACACACACACACAGGCACACATCGAATGATTGTATGAACAAGTTTTGACTTGAAAGGACAAATGCGGCAAGTATTTTATATTTTTCTTCTATATTTATTTTCAATATAAAAGATCTTATTATTGAACAACAACCTTGAAGTCAATGATTGAATGAATGAATGAATGAATGAATAAATGAAAATCAAATAGGTAGGATGTCAAGTAGTGTGTGTAGTGTATCAGTGTATGTGTGTGGTAAATATTTTTTTGCCATCGGGTCCTCTATTGCTACAGCAATAACAGGTAAATATAGATAGAAAACAAAAAGTTTTTAAATTTAATGATGATGATGATGACCGACTATGACTATAGTTATATGGCCAAATGAGATTGATTCGGGAAGGGGGGTAATAGTATTCTACTATTCTATTCTACTAGTCATGTATAATTACAATAATCATAGCACCGTGTCAATTGTCGTTATTTTTTGTTGATGATGGTCATATATTTTCTCTATCGTTGCTGTTGTTTTGGTTTTTTTGTTGTGTGTGCGCTTGTATCTTGTATCGATGATAGATTAGGTTGGTTGATTGTTTTTTTTTCATGCCGAACAACAACAACAACAACAAAATCATGTTCAACACAATCAATTCATCGTTATGTTGGTTCATTCAATCAATGATGATGGTAAATATGAAAAACGGGCACAAAAAAAAATTCCAATAATAGGGCGAAATATATATGCAATGTAATGACGACGAAAAACAAAACACGAATGTTGAACAAGGGTGTTACAAGAAATATATAAAAATGGACGATGACTTTATTAATATATATTGACTTGTTTTTTGTGTGTGTATGTTTGTTTGGTGTGTTCAATGTTTCATGTCAGGCGGTATAGACCAAAGATGTGAAAGTTCATTTTTCATTCTAATGATAATGGATCAATTACCGTTGTTGTTGAATCTTTTTTTTTTTGGTGATGTTATTTTTGTTGACCTTAATAAATGTTCATTTTCTCCCTCTCTTTGTCTTACATATAATCTCAAAGAATCTGATTTTTTTTTTGTTGTTCTTTCGTTATATTTTGTTAGTCACTTGTCATCGCAGTGAATAAATGAACAAGATGATGATTATGATAATGATAATGATCATCATAATCATCATCATCATCGATCAATCAAATGTTTATCATCAAACAAACAATAAGTTCATCATTTTTTTTCCTAAAAAAAACACAATTGGTTGTTTTTCCCCCTTTTTTTTGATGAATGTTTTTGTTTTAATTTCATGGTCGAATGAATGAAATGTTTAAACAACAACAACAACAACAACAACAAACAAAAAGGTCATCAACCATGCATGGTCATACACAAATAAAATTATTCAAATACACATGAAATATGTGTATAAATACAAAAAATGATGATGTCATTATGGCGAAAAATGATTCCCAATGTCAAAAGTAGTAGACAGTGGAAATGAGAAAAAAAAAAATTTTATTATTATTATTATTATTATAGTGAATATAAAACGTTTCATCATTAACAATATATCGATTTGTTTGAAATGAAATGAAATGAAAAAAAAAATATTTGTCCATTTTGTAATTTGTAATTATTATTATGCAAAAAAAAAATTTCGATACTTTTCTACTCTGTTGCTTGTTTTGATCTGGTTATGATTGTTGATTATTTGATTTGATATATTATTATATGATGATGATTATTGTGTTCCATGTGATGATGATTATGATGATGATGATGATGATGAGCCATGATTTGATCGTGTTTCGCCATCTGTTGTCATTGTTTTACAATTTATTGATTTACCATTGCTTAAATTAATTGAATGATGATGATGATGATGATGATCATTATCCGGTTGATAATCTGTTGAACCATTTTCATTTTGTTGTTGTTGTTTTTCAATTTTAGCCGATAAATCCTTAATCATAGTACTATCATCCATCATTGATAAACGTTTTTTCATTGCAACCGTCAATGGTGGTATACAATGTCTTGGAATTAAAAATGTCGATAAATTAAATAGATCGACAAAAACTTTATACCGGTCACTTAATGTTGATCGAAGATAATGATAACCGGATGAACCACCGGTACCAAATTGATGGGCACCAATCATTCGTAGTACCATTTCGACATGATTACCTGATTTTTTTTGTTTGTTTGTTTTTTGATTTAAATTGAATTGAAAAAATAAAATAAAAACATTTGTATGAATAAAACCACATAATAAACAATAATAAACATACTTCTCCATTTGGTAATCAATGAATCAATATCCATCAATAATAAAAGAATTTGAAATGGTAGATTAAAACGTGGTTCATCACGATACAATGAAATCATTAAAGCACCTTGTAATGCTTTATGTGTGAAACGACGATCACCGCGTGCCATTAATGCATTATGTTTGTTTACATCGAATATTGAATCAAATAATTCCGATTTACGTTGATATTCATCCAAACCATTACGTTTTAATGTTTCATCATCTTCTTCTTCGGCAGACGTCCGTATCTGCTCAAGCATTTCATTCACAACCAATTTATATCTTTCCCAGAAATTAAATTCCGGACTATCCAATCCAGGTGTCTGTTCTAGCCATATTTGTAATAATTCACAAAGTGAATGTTCATCTTCACTTTGTTTAATAATGTCAATTACTTTTGGATCTTCAAATATTTTTAGATAATAATTCTTTCCATAATTAGTACGAAGATCATTACGAATGCCTAATTTATTCTCTAATAAACGAAATTGTACTGATTGAAAACCACTGGCAGGTGATAAATAGCCACGAAATTCCATAAAATCCAACGGTGTCATTGTTTCCAAAATGGTTACTTGATCAACAAGTAATTTCAAAATGAGAACTACCCGATTCAATCGAGATGTTATTATCAAAAGATTGGCCTCATCCTATTTTTTCAATTAATTTATGATAATAAAGAAAAATAAGATGAATATTGAAAATTTCAATCAAACTTACTTTCACACGTTTATTCATAATTTCTCGTACGGAATCAATTTCAAATAGAATTTGTTTGAACCATAATTCATATGCTTGATGTGTAATGATGAATAAATGTTCATCATGAACTTCATTACCTACTAAACGTGTAACAGGTTCTTGACATGATAGCAATTTATCAATCTGAAATAAAATTTGATTTCAATTTTTTTTTCATTCAAATTAATTTCATTAAAAACTTACATGTAAATATTCTCCATAAAGCATACCACCTTTTGGTATTTCACGTGATGTTGATTCATTTAATTTGGGAAAATTACCATAACCAAAACTTACACCACCACCATTGCCGAATGGACAACCACCACCACCACCTACCAATATTGGTGGATGATCACCACCATTTGAAACATTAATTTTTATCGATTCTTGATTCACATCATTAAAATCGTTGTATAAAACATTCATTCCAATAGATGGAGTTGCTGAGCAATTTGTAGAAATTGATCGAAATCCATTCACGGCTGGACATTGGCCATTTGTTGTCATAGTACTAAAATGAAACGATAGAATTTTTTTTGTCAATAGAAAAAAAAAACAAAGAAAACTTTTATTAAACCATACCTTTCTTGATTTAAATTTTCATTATCATTATCCATTTTTTTTTTTTTTTTTTTTTTGATTTATATAAAATCGTTTTGGGGCATACCCGTTTCTTATATGATAATAATGATGATGGTGATGATGATGATGATAATTGATTATGATTGATAATTGGATTCGTTGAATAATTGGTTATTTATAGCGTAATTTTTAAAAAATTATTATGATGACAGCGAAAAAAAAACTAAGGGATGGTAACAAGGATGGAAAAAAATGTAGACATGATTATATAAATGAAATAAAAGCATATATAAAAACAAAATTTTTTTCATGTGTTTGAAAAACAGTAGAAAAAAAAGATATAAAATCATGCCACACAGTTTAATCACATAAATTGGCTTCGATTTTTGATGATCAACGATTTACGACAACAGCATAAACGACTACATGATGACAACATGTTGGATATATAACCACAACAATAATAATCAACACATTAATCTAAAAAATGACGAAAACAAAAAAAAAAAAAAAATGGTGTCACCAGGAAAAAAAAACAAACTGAATTCGGGTCAAAGTCTCAATTTATTTTTCATGGCTCTTGTTTTGTTTTTATAATTGAGGCCCGAGAGATGAAGAGAGCAAAATTTGCCAACCGACAGCACTTACCCTTCATTCTAAACGAATTAAAAGTGAAACAAATCGACAATTACATCGCAACGCACACACACACACACACACACTTCACACAATAATCTCTCACATTCATAAAATTAAAAATAAAAAACAAATAAAAAAACAAAAATTCATGAACAATGAGCAAGAAAAACCCATCTAATCATCAACAAGTCTAAAGTTCAAATAGAAAAAAATCAAATGAATTATCATCGGATGATCATCATCGATCAAATTGATTGATTTGATTCAATCAACAGAAATGAGAAAAAAAAATTGATGACGATCAATATGTGAAAGGAAATATGATGATTAGATTATAGATTCGTTTCGGACTGAGCCAATTTATATGATAATTGATGGTCGATGACGAACTTGATGTTATAAACAACAAAATGGAAAAAAATATGATTATTGAACTGACATTATCATCATCATCATAAGTTGGATGAAATATATCCAAAAAGCGAAAAAATAGATAAATTTTCAATTGAATTTTGAATTTTGATATTAAATTTGTTCAAAAAAAAAAAAAAATTCACTAATGTCCTTGAACTTATAAATCTCTACATTGTTTGTTTGAACTATAATTATGACGATGATGATGATAACAATAACAACAACAACAACAACAACAACAACAACGACAACGACAACAACTACAACACACGACACATTCGGTTTTTTTCTCTCTCTCTCAATAATTCTATGAAACAACAACAAATTGATTCACGGAATCAAAAATCATTTAAATCATGATAATAATGATAATTACCTTCAAGGATATTCTTCTTTTTTTTCTGTTGACAAAATTTTTCTTGATAGATCAGATTTGAGAATTACACACACACATCAAAAAAAAAAATTATAAACATGGAGGATTTTTTTTCAATCAATCGTTAATCCTATTTGTTATTTTCGAGGTTCCTATTTCTGGATGTTAAACAGAAAATAGTTAAAAAAAATGATCAATGGTTTTAATGATTTGTGTGTGTGTCTAATAACGAATGAATGAAACAAATAATGTTCGAGGTCATAAAACGAAAAATGAAACAAATAAACAAGTCAAACACATGGAACAACAACAACAACAACAACAACAACAGCAGCAAAAAAACAGCATAAGATCGTGTCACACGATTTATATTTAATTTTTGTTATCTTTTTTTTGTTGTCACAGGGGTTTTTTTTATATTTGTCACCATATAATTCAAATCAACAAAATGTTGTCATGTTGATGGTGGTTGATCATGGGTGATGTGTGTTTGTGTGTGTGTGTGTGTACACGCGTGAATAGAATTCTAAGAAAAAATGAATCGAAACAAATAATTACAAATTATTTATATTTCAACTTTTTTTTCTGGAAAGCAAGTAGGAAAACACATATAGAATGAATCTTCTCTCTCTCTCTTTCTGTAATACCATAATATAATTAATAATCTGGCTATATCTGTATGGTACATTCGAATTGGTTTACGTTTTTTTTTTTTTTTTTTTGGTTTGCTTTGGTTTGTCGACGCCTACCTTTCATCATCATCATCATCATCATGATGGCTATATCTGTTGATGAACCTTCCTTATTATTATTTAGTTTTTCCTTCCTTTTTTTCCTATTACCTTTCCTATTACATACATGTACTCGATCTGGTTGCTGCATTTTTTTCAAAAAAAAAAAAAAAAAAATTCATTCAAATCATTATCATCAGAGAAAAAAGAAAAAAGAGAAAGAGAGAAATTTTCGCTTTCAACTCCTCCCAAATTCAGCTCTTCAATTTTTTTTTGTTTAATTCTAAATCCACACACTACCCTCTTTCAACTGTTTGTTGCTGTTTTTTTTTCTGCAGAAATTCTGGATTTTTTTTTTGTCGCTGATATTGCTTTCATTAAATTTAATGTTTGTTAAACATGTACATGTACGATAATGTTTGATTCAATTCGTTATACTTGGATCAGTGCAATTTTGATTTTTTTCATGTTTTCTTCGAATTTTCATACAAACAAATTTACCATTTTTACAGTTGCCGATTGAAACCGATTCAAAACAATTTCAATGATAATATGGATATGGATTGAATTTCTTGTTTGAAAAAAAAGAATTCAAACAAGTGAGAGAGAGAGAGAGAGAGAGAGAAATGATAAACAAAAATCGATTTTTGTTTATTGTATCCGGGCAGACATTCGGAAAAAAACTAATAATCATTATATGTGCAATGATAATGATAAAAAAAATTTAGTTTTTTTTTTCGTCAAAAATTTAGTTTTCTCAGTCTTATATTCATATATTTGAAACGCCGCTAGTAATCATTGGAGAAAAAGTGAAGAGAAAAATGATGAAAAAGAAGCCGACACTTTCATCATCCACAAAAATTGTAGGTTTTTATTCATACAACAACCTGAATGGAAAAGGGCAACAAGCAACAAGAGATCATCATCATCATCATTGCATTAAATCGTCTGGAAATCCATGCCGAAATGAAAAAAAAATTAAAATCAATTGATGATGATGATGATGATCAATAATTATAGCTGTGACCAAAAGCTCATCATCATTACCATCAATTGTAGGTTTTTTTTTGTTGTATGAAATAAAATCAAGCAAAGAATATTGCCAAAACGACAACAGTTTATGTTACACGAACGAATTAGAAATGTTGAAAAAAAAATTGCTTCACCCTGGTGATCATCAGGGAACATTTTATTGAAATGTTTTTTTTTTGTTTTGTTTTTGTTTTATTTGCCATTTCAAAAACATTGGCTGATGTAATAGCTAGATTTGATTTACATCAGCCAATTATTATGTTTCTAAATGTTGAAAATAAATTGATTGAATTATAATAATTTTATATTATATAAACTTACTGATGTTGTTGTTGTTGTTGTTTTTTTTTCATTTATGATAATCCATAATCATGTGATAATCATGATGGGTAAAATAAAAATCCGGTAATAACGGTGATCATCAAATCATATGAACATTTTATTCATATCCGTTTTGATGAATGTATGACGATGATGATGATGATGATGTTCATTCGATTGATGAATTTGAATGCAATTTTTATATACATAAAATCAAAGTACGTATCGTTTCATATTACAAGTTATACACACACACACACACACACACACACATACACACACATTATTCATTGATTTTTTTTTCTGGACAAATCCCAATAAAAAGTAGTGATTCTGAAAAAGAAAAAAAAACCACAAAAATTCATAATAATCGAAAACTAGTGTGAATCAAAATGATCACCATCATTAGTAATCCAAAATCAAAAAAATGATTATTTGACTTTGAATTTCTTTTTTTTTCCACTTCATATGGTTCAAAAAAAATTTTTGATTTGACTCTAATGAGAAATGTTTTATGTTGATATTTTCAATGTCTTTTTTTTTGTCTTGTTTTTTTTTTTTTTTCATTTGTTGCCATTTCAAAATAAAATGTCGCGTGATGGCTACAAAATTTTTCTCTTGACATTGGATGCCATTCATTCAAATTGTGAGTGTGTGGTATCTCGTGTATTTCAATTCACGATGTCGATGTGTGTGTGTGTGTGTGTGTGTGTATGTTAGTAGAAGTGTCTCAAGACCGACCGAATAGAGAAAATGAAATGGAAATTTTTTTTTTGTTGAAAAACAAGACATCACATCAAAAAAATCCAAAAATATCAATGAATATTTTTGTCCTGATCCTGATCTTAAACACACACACACACGGACACACAAAATAAATCAAGTGCAATATTGAAACAGAAAAAAAACAATCGACAAATGGCCTCGAATTGTGATTGGGAATGGAAAAAAAAAATTTTGACAACTTGTCGTCTCAAAAATTTTTAAGTATTTTCCATAATGATTATTAATTTCATTTCTATCTCTCTCTCTCTCTCTCTCTCGCTCTGATTGAGAGATTCGATTCTCATGACAAATATATCGTTTCACATGTTCATTTTACACTGGTGGTGGTATGTTTTGCAGTTGTGTTCCAAGTTCCAATTAATCCATAATCCATAATTGATATCGATGTTTTTTTTGGTGATTATTTTTCTTTTCTTTTTGAATGACATGAGAAGGTTGAATTTATTTTTTTTTTTTTTTTATTTTCAATGATAACATTTCAACTCTGTAGCATTGAAAAATATTTTTATTTTCATTTCTTACATTATTATTGTTGTTGTTTTTCTGTTCGATTCCAAATGACAAAAACAAGTATTTTTTTTGTCATCATTAAATTGACAATAATAATATTTGCAAAAACATTCCGGTATTATTTGCATCGAACTGATTGATTTGATTGATTCATGATTTACACATTTTGATTGAAAAATGAGAAAAAAAAATAATTCATTCAATTATAACATGATGATGAATGAATAAATGTATATGTATTGATAATTCAAAACACAAGATCATTATCAATTTCCTTTCCTCGATTTTTTTTTTTGCTGCATTTACCTGTTGTCATCATCATCATTTGTTACAGATTTCAATGTGGATAAAAGAAATTAAAAAAAAAATAACAAAAATAGCAGCAAATAACAGGTTCTAATATTTTTTTCAAATTATTCTCTAATAAATTCAAAAATAAAATAAAAAAAAATCAAAAGATCAACGTTCAAAAAGAGAGATAGAAGGAGAGAAAAAAAAAAAAAAAAATTTACCGAATGTTGAAAATCAAATGAGAAAAAAAAGATAATCCTATAGTCATGGCTTTTTTAAAAAAATATTAATTTGATAATTTTCATACCTTCAAAGATTGTTAGCGACCACTTGTTTTTTTTTCTTCTTATCTTTGTTGTATTTGCACATCGTAATTAATAATTTTCTTCACAAGATATTATTTGCCGTTGTTAATGATGATGATGATGATGTTTTCTTGATTTTTTTTTTCATCACACATACACTCTCGCTCTCTCTCTCTCTCTCTCTATTTCTATCTGAGAGTTTCAATAATCATTAATCAACCATTGGAAAAAAAACTATCGCGCGTTGTTGTTGTTGTTGTTGTTGTTGTTGTTGTTATTCTCAGAATTTCTTCTTTTTTTTGCAGCTCCTCTTGATATTCTTGTTTTTTTTTGGTGATTAATTTTAATTGGAAATTTTCAACTTGAATTATAATTGATTTTTTTATTTTGCTTGTTTGATTGATAAAAACAATTAGTGTTTAGCTGATTTTATTAAATAAAAAAACGTTTTTCAATCGAAATGTTTGTTTGTTTGTTTGTTTTATTAGTTTATTAAAATATGAAAAAAAAATTTCTCAAATCAATTTAGCTATTTTAGCCATCGAATAGAATATTGAATCCCGATGATTCAATAGATTTTTCGGTGTATCATATTCAGCTATACGGCCTTGATCAAGTACTAATATACGATCATAATCGATCACCGTATTCAAACGATGTGCAATAGTAACAATTGTACAGTCATGGAATTCTTTACGTATGGTTTTCTGTATCAATTCATCGGTTTCCATATCGACGGCTAAAAAACAATTTTTTTTATAAAGATTAAAAACATTATATTATATATAGACTAAAATACATACCAGCAGTTGCTTCATCTAGAATTAGAATTTTTGATTTACGTAATAATGCTCTAGCTAAACAAACTAATTGTCGTTGACCAACACTGATGTTTTCACCACCTTCACTAATTTTATATGTTAATCCACCATCCAATGATTGAACAAATTCTTTCAAATGTGCTAATTCTAATGCTTGCCATATTTGTGTATCATCATAATATTGAAATGGATCCAGATTCATTCTAAGATCACCTGTAAATAGAACCGGATCCTGTGGAATGATCGTAATACGTGATCGTAGATCATATAATCCAATTCTTGTAATATCAACATTATCAATCATAATAGTACCATCAACTGGTTCAATAATACGAAATAATGCCAATGTTAATGAAGATTTACCGGCACCAGTACGACCGACAACACCAATTTTTTCACGTGAATTAATCTTGAATCGAATTTTACGTAGAACAAGATCTAAATCTTGACGATATCTAGTACTATAAGATTCAAATTTAATTTCACCTTTTTTCGGCCATTGGTGGCTAGGTTTTCCATAATCTTGATAATAATTTCTTTCCTGTTCCACTTCAGTATATTCTATCATACGTTCAACAGAAACAATATTCGTTTCAACATCGGTCAATGTTCGTACAAAAAAACTAATCACTTGTGTAATATTCAATGAATAACTAATGGCAAGTCCAGCCAGACCAGGACTTAAAACATTACGACTGAGAACGGCAAATAATGCAGCTAAAAATACAATATTATAACCGAAAAATTCTAAACGTATTGATAACCAACGTCCAGCAACACGGCTACAATAATAAGATGAACTGTTTATATCCAAACGACGATCACATTCTGTTATAAATTGTTTCTCAACACCATATGCACGAATCGTCGAAATACCATTAACAGTTTCGGTAAAATGATGATATATCGGTGAACGAGTAATCGATTCAATACGTTTTAATTGTCTTGATGATGCAATATAAAGACGTTGTACAATGTAATACAAAAATAAAATGGGAACTAATGCAGTCAATATGATTGGTGCTTCCATACTAATCATTGCAAACGAAACGATTGTTCGTAAAAATTGTGTCAATGTCATACGAATATTGAACGATAATGAATTATCGGCCACATCAACATCTTTGGTAAATCTATTCAATATACGACCAGTTGGTGTTGTGTCTACATTTATTTAAAAACGAAAAAGAAGATTTCAATGAAAAAAAAGTGATTTAGAATTCCTAATAATAATTGAAACATACGTATGTATTATATGAATGGTTATAATAGACACACACATGATTTCAAGAATGTAAACATGAAAGAATTTTCTCGATTCTTTTTATAACTTACCAAAAAATGACATTGGAGCATACATGATTCTTTGAAGCATATCATTATGTAATAATTTTGCTGCCCTTATACAGCCTAAACTCAGGATAAGCGATGAAGATATTGTAAATATAATTTCACCAATACCTAATGCCGCATAAATAATTAAACGAAAATTACGCAATGATTCATCGGCCATTCGGATTGGATCTAATGAATCATTACTCCATTCAGTTAGCCATAAATATGTGGCCATATTAAATCCATTACCAACGATGGCGGCAATAAATATGAAAATGGTGATGCCCGCACCGACTTTTTGAAAATATCGACCATAAACGGTAAATTTAACCGAACCAGTTTGTGCCACTTCTTCTTGAATTAATTTGCCTTTATCTTTTTGTTCCTTTTGACTTTTTAGTCGTTGAATCTCTTTCGATAGATGAATGCTCGTCGAACCACGATGGCCACGAGTTGAAAGTTTACTGTGATTTGACGATGAACTTGTTGATAGTTCTTTATCATGCTTTTGTTGGGTTTTTCTTGGTGAAGATGTTGATATAATCGAAGTTGATCGCTCAAATGTAGAATCCATTCGTGATTTAGATCTTTCCAGAATGGGTCGTACTTTTTCAGCGAATGATTTAACCATTTCAGATTCATTTTCACTCAACGTTCGTTCAATATCATTTTCACCAAAATTTTCATCCATAAATTCATTGATGAATTCAGCAAAAGCTCCTTGACTATTCATCAATTCGTTCATGGTTCCACGTTCGGAAATTACACCATCTTTCATTACAATTATTTCATCCACTTCTGGCAATATCATTGCACGATGTGTGGCCAATATTCTTGTTTTATTACAAAGTAATCCTTTATTGCCAATCACATTCTTGAATAATTTATCACCAACATTTGCATCCACAGCACTGTAAGAAATTCATTTTAATTTTATATTTAATAATTATCGATATTAATTCTTTTACCTTAACGGATCATCCAGGATATAAATGTCAGCATTTGAATATACAGCACGAGCTAATGATATTCGTTGTTTTTGACCACCAGATAAATTGATACCACGTTCACCGATTTCAGTTTGATCGCCTGCAGCCAATATTTTCATATCGGCTTCCAAACAACATGATTTCAAAATTTTTTTATATTTCTGTTCACTGTATGGCAAAGAGAACGTAATATTTTTTCTGACTGTCTGATTTTGGATCCAAGCCTGTTGTGGTACGTATGCTAAACGGCCATCTACATTGATATATCCACGTAATTTGTCCATATCACCCAGAATTGAACTCAAAAGTGATGATTTACCCGATCCAACAGTACCAACAATAGCGATTAATTTTCCACGTTTAATATTCAAATTTATATTCTTCAATGTTGCTGGACTTTCTGGTGACCAGGTAAATGTTGCATTTCGAATTCGTACAGAACATTCTTCATCTGGTAATTTTTTTACAGAACGTTCATCTTTTTCATCTGTATTTAGATATTTATTTACACGTGTCATCGATACCCAAGATTGTACACCATTCGTTAATAACATTGGCAATAATCCAAGTGGTGCACGCATAATGCTGAATAATGATAATGAAACGAATGCTTTGTTTGGATCCAGTACATTTCCCATCAATACATAGGTGGCAAATGTTAATAAACCAAATAAAAATGGTGCGGCCGTAAATGCAAATGTAATGAAACCACTGAATAATGTTACACTATATAAACGACGACATTCCCAATCACGAAGTTTTGTGATCATTGTTTGAAATGAATTTTCCCATGCATAAAGTTTTAAAACTTTCATGCCGCTAAGTATTTCGTTCATCAATTTTGTTCGTTTATCTTTCTGTCTCATCACCTGTATCTGAAATGTTCGTATTTTTTTCATAATCAATCCATTTAATGGTAATAGAATGATCATAAAACTAAAACCGGCCATCGATGCAATTTGTACCTGTTGCCACAACATATAGAAAGCAATGGCAATCTGAAATGGTGCCGACCATAACATATTGGCAACAACTAAAAACTCGGTTATACGTTCCGAATCAACTGACATAATATTGGTCAATTCACCGCTTGAATATCGAGAACGGCTTAAATTTGACATTCGTAAACTCTAGAACCCAAAAAAACATGAAACAAAAAACAATTTGTATTCGGTAATTTTTTTTTTTTGAAATTCAATCTATCGATACTAAAAATAGATTCACTTACTTTTTTATAGATAGTGGAAATGATTGAAATTCGAGCTCTTAAAACAACAATACTAATCCAATATTCATATTGATTATTCATGATTGATTCTAATGCCGGTGATATAAACATTAATGATGCGTAGAAAAATCCATGCCAATATGGCTCATTGTTTGAACTGATGAAGCTGATTAAATAATCCAAAATGGTTGGATTGACAAACGTCAATGCGGATGCCAATAATTTCAACACTGCACAGAATGTAATCACTGGCCAATATGATCTTAGTATAATCCATCCAATATTGATGTTTGTTTTAAGTTTATCATTAACCGGTTGTTCATATCCATTATTATCCTGCGCTGTTAATTGTTCATTCAATTCACGCCATTTATATTGATCTATATTTTTTTGAAATTTTCGAAGAATTTCAGCCGTACGATTTTCATGATCTAATTGGAAAATATCACGTTCAACTAATGGCCGACGATAACCCATCCAAATTATTGGATTGAACCACCAGAAAGTGATACGCGATAAAAATCCAGCATGAAACCAAGGATTAATATTTGATTGCTAATTGTTTCAAAATGATGATGAACATTAATTCATGAAATGATCATATTGTAGCAATAACGGGCATAAGATGATGATGACGATGATGATAATGATTATGGCCAAAAATGCATCGATTAATGATGATCATAATAATGATAGTATAGTAATAGGATAAAAAACCATTAATTGAATTTGTTCAATAATTCATGAGAAAAAATGGACCCTTCTACTATTTTGTGCTCAATCAAACTATCCATAAAAATGTCTGTATATTTTTTTTTTTTTTTTTGGTTACAAGATGTTTGCAATGTTCTAAAAAACTAATCGAAAAATAAAACTAAAGATGTGAAAACATCTATGGATAAAACGGAATGGCTACAAGTATTTATCCATGTGTATATATTATATTCATTATGATAATGTAATGTAGATGGATTTTTTTTTCTCTCTGGCTTCTAAGTCTACCACCGGGGCCTAACACCGTAAACGTTTTTCATAGGATTTTTCCCTCATTTTTTTTTCTTCTAGCTTCAAATTGATCATTTATATATTGGTTGGTTATTTTTTTACATTTAGATATAAATATAATATATAATAGTTATCATCGTTATGATGAATAATGGAAATATATATATATATATTCGTGTCAATAATCGAAAAATAGCAAAATAGAGAAAAAGAAAATGGCAATAGCAAGAAAGAAAGGAAGAAAAAAAATATATTACATTATTTGTCTGATGTTTTTGATGATATGGATGAATATAGTTACGGTAACCACTAGAAAGTGGATCTTTTTCCTCAATATTATTATTATTATTATTGAAATGCTTGTGATCATTATTGAATGATGTTGTTGTTGTTGTTGTTTTTGGTTCCGGATAACTAAAACAGTTGAATAATAGATGAAATATTGCCAATAAAGTAGCCAATGTACGACATATGTATTGAACATAATTGATTTCAACATAATAGATGCTATCCTATGAATATATCACATAAATAGATAGATAGATGATGATGATGATGATGATGATATTGTGAATTCCATTCCACATGCATAGATATTTTGACGGGTATCCATATTTTCCATCATTTTTGGTTTGAAAATATCAAACATGAGACATTGAATTAGTATCATTATATATATTTGGAAACCAAAAAAAAAAAAGAAGAAGAAAAGAAAAAGAAAAATAATATTATTAATAATAATGAAATTTTTGTTGTTGTTGTTGTTGGTCACTTGCTTCTGGGTGTGTATGTATATCGGTATTGATGATGAAATAGTGATGATGATGATGATGATGAAACATAAAATAACCGAAAAACACTAAGATATAAATAGAGAAAAAAACCCGATGCAATGATGATACAAAACGGAAATGGAAGCAAAAAAAAAGAAAAATCGATGCAGATAATAATCGAATCAATATCGATTCAATTCAATTCTAAATGAGAATTTGGCGTTTATATGCGTTATTATACGGTATATATATCGAACGATAGTCGATCGATTGTGATAGACGATGATAATAGATTGTAATAAAGAATTAGGCAACAAAAAAAAAGAGAAGAAATTTGCTAGTAATAATAGAATAATAATAATAATAAAAATGCCGAAAGCTGACATAAGCATCTTCACCATTGTCATCATCATCATCATCGTCGTCGTCGTCGTCGTGATAATCATCATTGTCAATTGTCAAGACTTTTTTCTTTGGATCAATTCATAACAATGTGTTCATTATCACTATATTATAGACACTTATATTCACGTATTTCATTTTATATACCAAAATTAAATTTTGTAAACAGTATACTTACATCAGTAAAAATGGCCAATAAAATTGTACGAAAATTGATCAAATGATATATGGCAAATAATAGGACAAAAATAAATACCGCACCAGAAGAATAAACACCATTACGACGAAACAATAGTAGTATGTATATCAAATAAAGCTAAATTGGAAAGAATAAAAAAAAAAAAAAAGAATCAATTTTTAAAAAAAAAATTATGATAAATCAATCAATCAATTAATTAATTGATTAATCAATTCAATAATGAATAAAATGATGATGAAAAAAAAATATTGTAATCATTCTTTAAACCATTAAAATGGTTTCGATTCTATTTTTTTTCCATGCAAAATGAATTCGTTTCATTCCATCTGTTCTCATTTCCATTACATTTCAATTTATATTCAATTCAAATGAAAATTTGATCAAGATGGCATTCATTTCATTGTCGAATGGTTTGAGCACGCTCATTAAATGTCACATAGATAAATATAATAATGGAAAAACGAACAAAAAAAACAAAATATTTAAATTCAATCAAATTCTCTCCACTAAAAAATGAAGAAACATTCTATGTTACAACAGACAATAGGTTTTTTCCTTTTCTATTTTCATTTGAAAATGAGGAATCTTGAATTCATCTATGATAATGATAAATTGTAAATCATTAAATAAATGGATGGATGTATATTTCATTATTGATAGCGGTGGCGTTAAAAATTTTCAATTTTTTTCTTGTGTCTGTGTGTGTGGGTGGATGGATGGATGGATGAATGAGATGAATACACGGAAATGTTTTTCAGAATTTGGTTCATAAATGAATGAATCAAGAAAAAACAGAAATCGTTTGCTTAATTCTATAATGCAAATGTTGCTGTTATTGACACACATACACACATACACACCACACACACACACACACACTGTTTGTTGATAATCAAATTCATGTAAATCCCAGATAAATAATCAGATTCAATGAAAATAATGCTCATTATTAATACAATATGTTTGTGTTGGTTGCATGTTTCAATTATATTTTGTTTTGTAATTGGAACCAGATTTATATTATCAACAAAAAAAAGAAAAGAAAAAAAGAATATTTAATCATTCAATTCTTGACTAAATGTGACTTACCAATGTGATAATCTTTATAGAAGGACTTAGCCAATCAATTGGTTTTATTGTAAACAAATATGAATTATTCCATATGATTATGTTGACCAGTTCGACAATATTTATGATGATTAATATTGTACAAATAATCTGGATTAATAATAAATTCATCCATAAAAATTAGATTTTCAAAACAAGAAAAAATTCCTACCAAATTTGCCACATTAAATATATTCCATGGTATTATTGGATTGATTGATGGTTGATGTATTGATGGAAATTTTTTTGTAGATTTTTTTCTTAAATTTATCATTTGAAAACAGGTAAAAATGAATAAAATTAAACATGGTGTCCATAGTAGACATGTTTCTTCAAAACAATATGTAAAATCAGGATTATGATCAGTATACCATGATAATGTTTGATTCCAATGTTTAGCACCACAAAGTGAATCAAAATTTATTAGTTTAAATGATGACATTTTTTTTTTTTTTTGTTCGTTGTCGTTGTATTTGTATATTCAATAAATACAAATCGACAATGTCAACATGATTTGTTTTTTTTTCACAGAGACAACAAAAAAAAAAATTTTTTTTTTGAGCAGCAGAAAAAAAACACACATTTATGTTATATTGGCAGCAAAAAAAAATGAGAAATTTTTTTTCTCTTTCTCTTATTCTTCTGACTATAATAAACCAATATATAAATAATAGTGCAAATTTAGAACAGAAAAAAAAAAAAATGAATCAATAATCAAAGTACTAATCGATCGATTAATTTTAAAATTGATTTTTACTAAGATAAAGTATGATGATGATGATGATGATGATGACGATGATCTTAAAATGATAATTTAATTGATTATAATTAATAATTAATCAATTTTGGAAACAACGACATTAGCAACCGACATATTGATATTTGATTGTTTAGTTTGTCAAGTGGTTCATTCATTCATAGTATTTCATTGGATAATAATAATAATGACGAAAAAAAACCAAAATCGAAATCAATCAACCAACACAATCAATTTAAAAATATATTAGCCTACCGTTTTATTTATTTTCTTTACAAATATCGATATATTGATAGATCAATCATTCATATACTTGAAAATTATAATCATAAAAAAAATCTTATTATTGATTTTGTATTAGTTTTATCATCATCTTTTATTTTCCAATCCAATGTTTGTGTGTGTGTGTGTGTCTGAGTTTATTGAAGATTTAACTATTTTATTTTTTTTTTCTATTGCTTATCTATGCAATGGTATCGTTTCATTTGTGTGTATGTTTGTGTGTGTGTTGATGAAATGTTTCGATTTTCATAGCCATACATTTATATCAGGTAGTTGACTTTTATTTTTTTTTTTTTTTTTTTTTGTAATCCAGAAACATGAAAAAAAATCGATACATTAAATGAAACAAAAGAATGATGATGGTATGAATACTAATCACTGTGACATATATACATGTAGAAATATGAATGATTTTTCATTGAAATGGATAATATGCGTGTGTGTGTGTGTATGTGTGTGTGTTTGTCATAACATCCAATTACCTTATGACCAAATCAAGTGTTGAATTTCAAGTTGGAAAAAAAATTGAATCTTCATATTCGAATGCAATAACAAAAAAAAGGAAACCGATCGAATATCATCATCAAAAATATATGCCGAAAGAAGATTATCAATTTGCAATAGCTTATCACATTCATCATCATCATCATAGTCATCAATAACAAATAAGGATTAATCAATAACGTAATAATAACAAAAACGTCAGCATCAAATTCTCGAATGGATACAGTGATACTTTGGCTTCATTGGATAGTATTGAGGATTTTGTATCACTGTAATGAGAATTTATATTTAGCAAGAAAAATAACTTATAAAATTGTACAATGAACTTTTATCAATCAAATCAAATTATTATTATTATTATAATGATAAAAAACAAATCTCCAATATAACCAATTAAAATATTTATTTATATATATGAAATCAAGTTGAAACAAAGACTGGTCAAATAAATAAGGCTATATTAATTTTTGAAATAAAAAAAACCAAAACAATAAGAATTGTGTAATAAACTTTGAAACTATAAAAAAATAGAAAACGAAAAAGAATGAAAAAACAAAAATTGCCCATCAAACACATACGCACACACACACACACACACATAATGTGGGTAATTAAGGCACGAAACACTAAAACTGTTGGGGCCATCAATAGATATTATATGATCATGGATCATAATGTTGCTTGTTTTTTTTTATTTTGAAATGTACAAATGAATTTCATTTTTGTGCCAAGAAAACAAAAAAACTATTACGTATAACCGACCAACTGCCGTGAACATGAATGACAATGAATGAATGAATGAATTGGATAAACCAGGCAAGATTCTAATGATGATGATGATGATGATGATGATACTCATGTAATTATAATAGTAATAATAATTATAGAATTGGAACAAAAAAAAAAACAAAATAGACAGAAAAAAATGGATCAGCCACTCTATTCATTTTTTTTTGTTTTGTCGTAGACAGTTTTTTTTTTAGTTATATTTCAATGAGATTCATTTATATATTTATATGATGATGCTAATGATGATGATGATGATGATGATGGTAATGAATAAAATAAAGCTAACCATCAAAGCTGAAATGAATTTTTTTTACATTTATGAATGTCGACCTACCAATTACAATGATGATGATTATGATATTCTGAATAAAAATTTTTTTTTATTCTCTTTTAAAATAACCAAATATAATGGTGCTTATTATTACCATCATCGTCATCGTCATCATCATCAACATATACGTCATGTGTGAATGATGATGATGATGATGATGAGTGATGATGAGTGAATGAAAAATTTTGTATTTTATTTCCAAACTTCTTTATTATGATGATGATGATGATTTGGTTGGTCATTTATTCAAATTTTTATTGCAGATTTTTGCTTGACAAATAAAAATATGATATCCATTTGTGTTCAATCACCAAATAGAAAACAAATGAAAGAAACAAAACAAAATAAAAAAAAACATATTGCAATCAATTTTTATTTTGTATAGAAAATTTTATTGAACCAAAAAAACAACAACAACAACAAAAATTTTTTTTCAATTGCAAATACATAAATAAAAAAACAATGTTGAATTGCAAGGTAACTAAAATAATATAAAATTTGTTATTACGACAACAACGAGAAATAATTAAATTTTAATTATCAGATCAATCGTATGTATGTTTGTCTCATGAATGTCACCGTTGCTGCTGCTGCTGCTGATGATGATGATGATGATGATGAACTCATATGGTTTACAGGATTTTTGTTGCTGTTGTTGTTGTTGTCAGATTCAATGTTCAAGACAAAAAAAAAGACCAAAATTCAGAGAGCAAAGAAGAAAATGACATGAAATCTATTTAGTTTAACTATGAAATTCTATATTTCGTTAAACATTAAAAATGGACGACAACAAACAAAACAAAAACAGAACAAAAACAAAAAAAATTCAAGACAAACGCATATATGACACTTTTGAATATTTCATAATGTTCTACATTCATTTTATTTATTCATCCGTTTTTGTTGTTGTTGTTGTTGTTGTTCTGGTGTTTCATGTTATTTGCTTTACATTATTATTATCATCATCATCTTGTTCATTATTAATGATGTTGATGATGATGAAATGGTCATCAACAATGAAAAAAAATAAAATACAAATACAAATACAAAATTTGCAAAAATTATTTTCCATTTATTTTTACTGGCCATTCTGTTTTGTTTACGGAAAAATTCTGGTTGCGATTGATTTTTGGTAGTTGAATTTTTTTTTGGCTATATGAGCAAGGAATATTCATTACTATTGTACAACCATAGAATTTGAGTATCGCTCATTTTGTTTGTTTGTTTGTTTTTCTCGGTTTTTATATTTGAATCGATTAATTTGGTTTTCATTGTTTTCATTTCATCAACCATATCGGATAATTTGGACCAAAAAAAAAACAACACACACAGTATTAGATGAAAGCGTGTAATGATGATGATGAGAAAAAACTATAAAAAAAAATTTCATAAATCCATTTTTTGCCGGCCGAAATTTATTTTATTTCCATTGCCACTATTTTGGCTATCATCATCATCATCATTATAATCGGGTAATTATGTCAAGTTTTTTTTTGTTGTTGTTGTTGGTTAGTTCCATTCATAACTATTCATTTTTTGTTTATTGTTTGTCCTTGTGTTTGTTGTGATGTCCGGAAATCGATGTAATTAACAAGCATCCACCAGTTAGCTATCATCATTATCATTTCTTTTTTTTCGGATATCCATTCATAACAACAACAACAACAACCACGACAACAACAATGAATATGATAAACTTATTTTTTTGCAAGATAATAAATAAAAAACTTCAATTCTATGAATTCTATAAATAAATATTCAACAACAACAACAACAACAACAACAACAAAAACAACAGCAAAAAATACTGAAATGAATAAGTATCATCATTATAATTATAATAATATAAATTGTTTTATTTTTCTTAAAATTTCAAGAATAATTTTTTGAACCAAATTCTGTTTATTGGCAAAAAATTTCAAACACACACATATATATAGTTCCTCAAAATAAGAAAATTAGATAGCGATGATGATGAAGAAAACCATTATGATTATTATTATCACATCATTATTTATAGTTTTTTTTCTCCTGAGAGAGTTGGAGATAAAAAAAAATTCAAAAATTTAATGAATCAACCGTTGATGGAAATAGTGATGATCATGGCCAACCTCAAACATATGAAACAAATATTTTTTTATCAAAAAAACAGTGGCTGTGATTGTACAAATCGTTTGAATTTGTTCTAGTAATAATTTTGAAATTCACCTGAAAAAATTGTTACGATTCACAACGAAAACAAAAGTAGAAATTCTGTGAAACGTATAATTTCTTTCTATTTTTTTGCACCTATACCAACAAGAAGTGTGATCCATCCATCGAACCATGACCACACTACCATTGTGGATCATTTTTTTCCCATATTTTTGGTGAATTTGAAAGATCAAAAATGCGAAAAAAAAATTCTTTTTTTTTCATTATATCATATCATGCACGCAAATACCATCAAATATCATGATGTGCATGACAAAAGTTTTTTTTTTTTTTTTTTCATTTCTTATTTTCTGGTAGTTTTTTTTCTTTTTTGGACTTGCAACAAAACCGAGAAACAAAACAAAACAAAACAAAAAATCAAAACGCTACTGAATCTGTTTTTTCTCCACTTATGTTTGTACTTTTCTTATGACAAACTTTTTACGAATCATTTTTTTTCATTTGTTAGCCAAATGTAATTATTATTCTTATTATTGTTTTCTTGTTTTATTTTTTTTTCTCAATCATCATAACCATCATCTCATTTGGTTGAAACAAACAAACAAACAAACCAGGAAGAAAAAAAATTCCGGGACTCTGGTATATATATATATATATATATATATATACCCGAAGGATTTTTGGATTCCAGCATTATTATCATTCTTATTGATTGATG